GAATGTTTCTGGAACATGGCCAGACAGCCCGGAAAACTCACAGCAACCGAGATAAGAGTTCTTTCTCCCACCCTGGACATTCCACAGATATGTAAACCCCACTTGCCTAGTTTCCAACAGACCTCACAACCTCTGAGGATGCCTGCCATAGATGTGGGTGAAACGTCAGGAGAGAATGTTTCTGGAACATGGCCAGACAGCCCGGAAAACTCACAGCAACCGAGATAAGAGTTCTTTCTCCCACCCTGGACATTCCACAGATATGTAAACCCCACTTGCCTAGTTTCCAACAGACCTCACAACCTCTGAGGATGCCTGCCATAGATGTGGGTGAAACGTCAGGGGAGAATGCTTCTGGAACATGGCCATACAGCCCAGAAAACTCACAGCAACCCAAGTTTGAAATATAAAGGAGATCTTTCTTCTCTGCTTATTTTAAGCTAAAACAAAGTTAATGCTAGTTCCTCAAATACTTTGAACTGAAATTGTTGGACCTCACATTCAAATGTTGCAAGACACATGCGTCACAATAGTTGGGATAAAGAATAGATATATTAGATGTATAAATGCAGAGCTAGATATTAAACAAACATGTACATCACAAGTATAAGTTTTGAGCAGTAAAAAAGAGGAAAGATGTAACAACACATAGTAACAGGTTAGTTCCAATATTTCTAAAGTGGCGCATTTCTGAAATGACAGTAGCTAGTACTGTTTCAAGAAATTTAGCTGAATAGAAAAAGACTGAGCAGGCCAAAACACTTAAAAGTAAAGAGTAAAGGACAGCTAATGAAGCAGGAAAATGATTAAAACAATATCAGAGAATATTTTTTGGAATTAGCCATGTTTTATATCTCATGGCTTCAGGCGAGGATAAAAGGTGTTGGAAAAATGGCAATATAGTTATGGATGACATTCAAAAAAAGTTATGGACGCCATTCCCTTTAGCAGTTCCCATTGCGATCGGATCCTTGCAGCACCGTTAAAGGGACAGTCATGCCAAAACCTTGGTATTTTTATTGAATTATTAAACTGTTGCCTTTAAAGGAAGCAGAGGCACAGAAAGGTTGGATTTTTCAGGCCCTACCCACTGACATTAGTATTTACATAAACACATAAGGACTTTGAAGATTTCACTGCCAATCTCTTTCAAAGTGTACTTAGTGCAGATGTGTATTTGTTCACACCAAGTTCATTAAAATGCATTGCCACAATCAGCATATGACTATTTAGGTGATATTTTTATGTTTTTCCAGGCTGAGCAGGAAAGTGATTTGTTCAAGGATGTTTAATTCTAATACATTTGCATATCAAGGGTGACTAGGTTCAATTTCATGAACCAAGACCTAGATACAGCTTCACAATTGGAACACAAGTTGGAGACAACTGTATTGTTTATCGTTGAATACATCAGGTTGGCTAAACATGGGCTATACCTGTACCTCATGCTCCTGGACTATGAAAAGCACAAGCTTTTAAAATATAAGGAGTAATAAGTGACATTTACAATACATTATGGTAGGATCAATAGTACAACCTTCTATCAGAATTTATTCTGCAAGGGTAATCAGGAGGATTTGTGGAGATCATTTGCAAAAATACCAGATGGTATAAAAGGATTAGACAAATAAGGAAGCTAAGGGAAACATATTTCCTCGTCTCGGCACATAGAATTCTCCTTCATACAGGAGTAGTCTGTCTTACTTATCAGAAGGCATTCTAGGGACTGCCATTTTCACAAATGCAAGTATGATGAATGCACTTTCATCTCTTAGCAATGCAGTACTAATGACAATCTTCTAAAACAATCACATTTGTTGACTGGTTAAGATTTTGAAAGGTTGCATAAAGGGCAAATGCACTGGCTCATTTAAGGATGATTGTTAAAATCCCATGTGCTTTTATATTAACAGAAGTTCAAAAAGTAAGAATTATGATCTTCTCTATTTCAGCTATGCTTAGTGAAAAGCCCAACTTCCTTCACTACATCGGCTATTGCTGCAAGTAATGACAGTGTGAATAAATTGTCAATATTTGCTTGAGATAGTGCTTACAGTTCTGGAGGGACTCTTAATTTTTTGCATCTCATAGACTTAGCATGGGGATTTGGTTAACCAGTTAAAATTCATGAGTAAACCAGGTTTTTTAAAAAAAATCTGAAACATTTCGGGGGGTTGAACCCCTAAAACCACCCCCTCGCTACAGGCCTGTCTGTACGCATCATTCGGAAATACATCCCACAGTCCTAGACGCTTGGGAAGTGTTCGACTTGTGATTTTGTGATACAAAATCCAGCACATAGATCTCATTTGCCGTGACATACTGTGCTTTTGTGTCAGTAAAATAATAATAATAATAATAATAATAATAATAATAATAATAATATAATTCTTTATTTATATCCTGCTTTTCTCCCTAACGGGACCTAAAGCAACTCACAACACAATGCAATAAAAATCAAAGCACATTTAACATAAAATATAAGACAAAAATCACACAGAGCCTATTAACATCCAGAAATAAGATATAAATAAATATTAAGCATCAAAAACATTTTAAACCAATTACAATTATTGTGGAGACTCATCAATTAAATAGTATATTTCACTAAGCTCAATGTAAATTAACCTTGCTGTCATTAACAATTGAACCTTGCTTGAACAGGTTCCTGAATGATGGAAGGGGCAGTTTTCATCTCAATGGGGAGGGAGTTCCAAAGAGCTGGGGTGGCTACTGAGAAGGCCCTCTATCTCGTTGAAGCCAACTGTATTTGTGATGGTAACGAGAGAAGGTCTCTGGAAGATCATAATGATTGGATGGGTTGTAATGTGGTCACTGTTATATAGGTAAAAGTAAAGGTTCCCCCTTGACATTAAGTCTAGTTGTGTTCGACTTTGGGGGTTGGTGCTCATCTCCATTTCTAAGCCGAAGAGCCAGCATTGTCCATAGACACCTCCAAGGTCATGTAGGCAGCATGACTGCACGGAGCGCCATTACCTTCCCACCGGAGCGGTACCTATTGATCTATTCACATTTGCATGATTTCGAACTGCTAGGTTGGCAGAAGCTGGGGCTAACAACAGGAGCTCAGGCTGCTCCCCGGATTCAAATCTGCGACCTTTTAATGAGCAAGTTCAGCAGCTCAGCGGGTTAACCCACTGTGCCACCGGGGGGGGGGGGGTCCATTGTAATATAGAATGCATTTAATATGTATTTTATAGAAATACGTTTTAATATGTATTTTTTATAGAACTATGTTTAAATATGTGTGTTTATAGAATTCTTGCAATGTTTGTATGTTTTGACTGTGCTGTTACTATTCTTGAGCCCCAATGAGAGTTGGGTAAGAAATATAAAAATAATGCAAGCAGAGGCACAACACCGTTGCTCAGATGATTCATTGGAACTTGTGCCACAAATACCATCTATCTGCGACAAAGAACTGGTGGGATCGCAAGCCAGAAAAAGTTACAAAGAACAAACAAAACTACTCTGGGACTTCTGAATTCAGACAGACAGAGTTTTGGAGCATAATACTCCTGACCTCACAATCATGTTAAAAAACAAAGTATGGATTGCCATTGTTGCAATCCCAGGTGACAGCAGGATTGAAGAGAAACAACTGGAAAAGCTGACACGATGTGAGGATTTAAAGATGGAACTGCAAAGTCTCTGGCACACTGGGTGCAGTGCCTAAAGACCTTGGCCTGCACTTAAACACAATCGGCATTGACAAAATTACCGTCTGCCAGCTGCAGATGGCCACCTTACTGGGATCTGCACGCATTATTTGCCAATACATCACACAGTCCTAGACACTTGGGAAGTGTCCGACGTGTGATCCAATACAACAGCCAGCAGAGTGATCTTGTCTGCTGTGGACGCATCTTGTTGTGTTTCAAATAATAATAATAATAATAATAATTGAAAAGAAAACATAATTATTTTAGTACTTAATCTATCAGAGGAAGCAAAAGTTGACTCCCTACCTCAAGAATATGATTTAGGACAAAGCAAAATATGAGTGGATAAAGCAATACTCTTCTAATGCTGCTAGTGAAATCATGGAATACTGCACTCTCAAGATCTCAAGAAATAATAATTTCTAAAACAAAATCAGGGCTAGAATCATGTCAAGTATGAAAAAATAAAGAACCTAATCTGTTTTGAATTGCATAGGTATTATAACCAGACCAAGGCAGCGGTAACATATCTATAGATATTAATCTCCTAATACACAAACTGAAATGATTCCACATCTTCACTCCAGCCAAGCATTTTAACCCCAAGGAAGTTTACATATCACTTCCCCTTAACCTTTCAAAAGCACTGAAGTTCATGCTATCTTCATTTTTCCTTCCTAATCCCATACTAGTGCCTTCAGCCAGACCATGTTCTCAAACTAATTCCTCCTTTGGCTACAAGTCAATGCTTTCTTAAACATCTCAGATGAAGATATTTGTCAAAATAGGACATCAAACATGACTCACTTGTGCAAGTATGGAATATCCAGTGAGATAGATAGATAGATAGATAGATAGATAGATAGATAGATAGATAGATAGATAGATAGATAGATAGGGCTGTTATTGCAGTGCTTCACAATTTTTGTTACTTTTTAAAAAAGATAACCAAAACGAAGAGTCAATCGAAATAGATAATGTCATTAGACTGATGAAAATGATATTCCAGAAACAGTGGAGTGTTGATTTAGTTTCATGTGTGGTTGCATCAAACAAGAAGGAAACCTGTTGTGTCTGTGTAGTTTGGCTGATCTTTTTACATTATAGCTACAAGTTGTAATACTTATATCTACAATTATAACAGTTACACATGACAATCTGTGGGTGTATATATGCATGCCCTGTAAACCTGAGCCTAAAGGTACTTTAATTAAAAGCCACAGAAGTGTTCTCCAAACATATTCTCTACTTTTTGACACCAAAAATGGAATATATAACCCATTCCCTGAAAAAAAAAAAGCTATGAAAACGTCCTACCTGGAGTTCTTGGCATTCGCTTCCTGCGGTCCCTGAATGCTGCCCCAGATTGCAGCGCCTCGAGAAGATTATCCATCACGCCTGTCTCGTCGCCCTCTGTGAATAGCAGAGGAAATAAAATTAATCTCTTTGCAATTAAGGTTATAACAGAGGAAAATATGGAACGCAAAAAGGGGGTCACATTTACATAAAACCACTAAATTAAAGACATATATTGCACAGTAATGAAAGCTGTCACTTTCCTGAGATACCACTGACTAGGCTCCTTATGAAGTACAATTCAGTGAAATGGATGCCTACCTCACTTCTATTCTCTTGACTTTTAAAGCCCTGTCCTATTGATTATTGATGACATGCTCCATATGCAAATACACCACTTCTCATCAGTAACTGCCATTACATTCTTGAGGTATTATTGCAAAATTCCCAAGCAAGAGGCTGGTAAGCATTCATAGTAGATGATGCATATATGAAGGTATTTGAAAGCACATAATCATGAACACTGGGAGAAGGGGGTTGACTTAGATTGGATCTACACACTGCCCTATAATCCAGATTATCAGATAATCCACATTATCTGCTTTGAACTGGATTATATGAGTCTACACTGCCATATCATCCAATTCAAAGCAGATAATCTGGATTTTATACCACAGTGCAAATCCAGCCTTAGGGAGACATCAAGGTGATCCTATCCTGGGTTTCTCTCAGCATGATTTGTTCAGAGGCTGATAGATTCAAACCCAAGTATCCAGAACTGTAGTCCAATCCTCAAACCACTACACCATGCTGGATCTCTAGGTTATCTAATCATAAGTCCCAATAACAGGAAAGGTTTCATTATCATTTGATGCAGATAGTTCTGTGCATTGTTTTAGTAGAGAAATAAAACTGGCGGTATTTTTCAGTCACCAAATACAGAGATCGCTAACCAGGTTACTAACTGGAGCACCATACAAGGAGAGAACTACTCCCATTTTATGGTAGACTCCACTGGCTGTTCCGCTTCCAGGTGAAATGCAAAGTGCTGGTCATTATGTACAAAGCCCTAAATGGTTCAGGACCAGACTCTTTGAAAAACTGCATCTTTGCGTACAAACCAGAACGAGCACTGCGGTCTGCAGAGGAGGCCCTGTTCTCGGTCCCACCACCATCTCAAGCACGACTGGTGGGAACGAGAGATGGGGCCTTCTCTGTGCCTGCTCCCCGCCTCTGGAACTCCCTCCCTAAAGAACTAAAAATTGCCTCCTCTTTCCTTTTCTTTAAAAAGCTTTTAAAGACCCATCTGTGTAACCTAGCCTATGGAGAGGAGGAAGATTAGTATCTTTCATACATATTCTTGCCTGACATTGGATACTTCCTTAGCCTGCTGACGCGATATATTATATTGTGCTTTCAATGTATAGTGCTTCAATTGTGTTGCCTTCTTGTACTCATTATGTGTATTTAGTTTAATCCTTGACTTCTGTCTCTTTACAAGTTATATTGAGTTATTTGATTTCATGTTTTGCTTTGATTGTTGTTTATCTGTTTACTGGCATTGAATGTTTGACATTTTTGTTATTTCTGTAAACAGTCCTGAATCCCTGCAGGGAGAGAGGCCAGGTTATAAATAAAGTTTATAATAGAGATATCCATGCTGTCAACAATGGGTTAAATAAACCATGCAAGCTACACAGATGACTGTTTTTCTACAGAGAAATAGGCATCCTAACAAAGCTAGGGCATACATTCCAAATCTGAAGAATCGTGTATGCAAATTGAAGATAATGTTGACTAACACATTCAGTAGGAACTGGGGACTGTTAAACAGTTATGACAGAATTATACTTATCGTGTATACTACAATAGAACTGCTAACAATCAAGAGATGCTAAACATGAATAGATATGAACTTATTAAATGACTTATAATTTTACTGGGATACTGATGTGCTTTCAGAAGTGATATCACTGACACCATTATGGATGTCAGCTGCCTATTAATGAACTCCACTCTATTATCCTCATCTGTGTTAAGGGAATGTTAATATACTTTTCAAAAACAATTAATTTAACATTAATTGTGACTGAGGCACTCATTCTTCCCCTTCATTCTTGTATCAGTAGTTAACAGGTATTTTAATTGCTGTAGTAACAGGAGCTAATGAAGACTGAAACCATTTCCGATTAAATAATATTGGCATTAAAATTGCTATCGTAGATCCTAAAAGAGATCGTGCCGTTAGTGGGGTTTTTTTTTCTCCATGTTATTTAGATGCATAAAATGTAAGATTATTTCACATATGTTAAAAAAGCCCCAATATAATAAAAAGAAAACTCCACAACTTTACAACTTCTACAATTAATGGATTAAGAAAATTAAACCTAAACTCTTCCTAGATGTGAAGATGACTAAACAGAGCTTGCTGTATTCTAGGCATACTACAAGATGATGTTATTAGTTGGAAAAAAAGGTAAGTGTTTAGGAAAGTGGAGGGCAGTAGGAAAACAGGAAGAATGCACTACAATTGGCCATGAATTTGCAATACCTGAATACCAGGTGCTTGGAGAATTGTCATAATTAATAACTATAAATAGCAACAAAAAGAAAATATCGCCTTGATGTATTTTCAAAGATACTGCAAAAATAACCACCTGAAGCCTAACCCTGCTAAGACACAAGTGTGTGCTTTCCACCTATGCAACCGTGAAGCCAATAGGAAATTGAAAGTTACCTGGGAATGCCAAGAGATCAAACACTGTTTCCATCCTAAATGTCTCGGTGTCACCTTAGGTGGAACACTAACATTTAGGAAACACTTCATGAACACCAAGCACAAAGTAGCTGCATGCAATAATATCCTGCAGAAACTTACTGGCAGCGCATGGGGTGCAAACCCAAAATTAATAAGAACATCATCCCTAGCCTTGTCTTAATCAACTGCTGAGTATGCCTGCCCTGTTTGGCACAAGTCTTCCCATGTGAAGCACGTAAAGACAGCATTGAATGAAGCATGCAGAATAATCACAGGATGTCTCAAACCTAAACCTGTTGATAGACTCTATAAGCTAGCTGCCATTGCCCCTTCCTGATGTGTGATGGGAAGTTGCTGCTAAATGTGAGAGAAATAAGGTTGAAAACTGTGAAAGTCATCCACTACATGGCTACCAGCCTCCTCCCAGTAGACTCAAATCAAGGAAAAGCTGTATGAGAACCACCACTCCTCTTAAAGTCCCCCAGCAACAGCAAGAGTATCCCTCTGGACAGCTAAACCAGGAAATCCCAAATGGATGCCCCCCCCCCCCCCATGAGGGTCTTCCTCTAGGGGCAAACCAAGAATGGGCAACTTGGAAGTCCCTGAACAGACTCAGAAGTGGAGTGGGAAGATCAAAAGACAACCTGGCAAAATGGCACTACCTAAAAGAATCCTCCACCTTGTGCAACTGTAGAGCAGAACAAACAACTCCACATCTACATGCTTGTCCACAATCCCCTGTCTCATGCACAGAGAAGAATTGTTTAAAGCTACAGACAATGCAGTCGCAGTTGTCCGTTTTTGGTCTAAAATTATTTAGCTGCTTGTGCTCCCTCTATTTTATCAGATTTATACTTATTTATGCAATGCTTTTGACAGAAATTAAAAATAGGTATTTCAAATACAATCTATCAACGAAAGCTTATTTCTGAACATGAGTGTTCTACTCCATTTCCTCCACAAATTAATAGCTTGTTGCTAAATTAGGTTCCAGCAGGGTAATATAGTATAGTCCCTATCAGCAAGAGAGCAGATGTCATGAGTCTAATCTTAAAGGGGGGGGGGGGAGGAAATTTGCCACTGTCATAAAATCTAAATGGATCTAAAAATCTGACAAAACCACATTTCAGATGGTGCTTCTTTAAGGTGAGTTGGTAAGAATGGTCAAGACATGAATCTATCAAGACATGGAAGGCATGTAATAGCTACTCAACCAAACTTTGCACAATAGTGTCCTCTTATGTTTACAGGACTCAAGAATAAACACAGATGTGCGCAGTAAAATTGACAAAATTTAGAAATACTAAAAATGCAGGAGGCAATGCTTTGCTGAAGGAAGTAAAGTAACAAAAACTACAATGGTAGAGTGATGTAGGGATACATATGCCTTTACTAATTTTCAAAGACATTAAGCTATATACTTAAACATATCACTAACCCTTCTGCCAATATTATATTATGAGTACAGAATGAACCTTCATGAAGATAATAATAATAATAAATGGTCACTGAGCAATCACTTCAATGAGTACTACTTTTATTTTAAAATGCATCTAATGACTTGAAATCCTGATCAGCAATACTATCTCAGTTCACCTTAATTGTATCATTTGTTCTGGTATCTTACTAATATACCTTGGCATCTTATATGTCAAGAGATAAATACTATTATTTGTTTTGCTAGCAGTACATTTCATCACATTCCCTTTCACTGGGTAGAAGAGACCAGCTTCAGTTGCACACTTAGCTTGTTATGCCTTCTATAATTGTAACTGATTAAGCTCTCTCTGCCTAACAACCGAACTGAAATGGTCACAGAAGGGAAAACAGCAAACTGCAGGATGAAGTAATTTCTCACTCGGTTTAATTCATATTTGCATCATCTCATTTCTCAAGCTTTGCGAAAGGGATGGAAGATAAACATCGACAAATTATGTAGAATAAAGTAATGAATAAATAAATCCCCAGATATGAGGGGCCTTCTGATTCAGTCTTCCCCCTTCTTCTTCCTGTCCCTTCCACTAAATGCCCTCATACACAGTATATGTACAGTCACGGGTTCAGCATTATAGAATTTTAGAGCTGGAAGAGACGATCCATAAGGACCAGCCCAAGCAAACCCATGGCCATGCAGCAACACATAATTACAGCACTCACAACAGATAGCCATCCAGCCTCTGAAACAAATACTCCAAGGCAGGATGTTTTCCCCTAATGTTCTGGTGGAATAGCTTTCCCTGCAATTTGAATCCATTGCTCAGCAAAAAATAAGCCTATCCCCTCCTCAATATGACATTTTCCCCAATATTTAATCAGGACTTTTACGTCCTCGCAGCCCTCTTTTCTCTAAGTTAAACATACTCAGCTCCTTAACTGCTTCTCCTAAGGCTTGGGTTCAAACACTGAACTTGCTAAGTTTCCAAGATCAAATGTAATCTGGTGCCTTTAGGATTTTAAGCCTAAACTAGAGCAAATAATATTTTACCTTTATTCATGTCAATTAGCTGCTTCTTCTTCTGTTGCCGCTCCAGCTTTTCACGTTCAGCCTTCTCTTTTGCAAGCTTGGCTCGCTTAGTCTTTTCTTCCATCTCTCTTCTTTTGTTGTTTTCCTTCAGCGCCTCCTGGATTAGAAATGAAAAACATGGGTTTTCCTCCGTTATGAATGCACAGTAAATCGAGGATATCTTGCATCTGTACAGACCTGATTTGTATGTTTAGTTGCCAGAATTAAAAATCACATTACCTTTGAAAGTGTCATGAAATATATGATGTATGGTTTGAATGGAATTGTATGAAATGTGTATGAAAGGGACCTAATTGGGCTGAAGACATTGAGGCCTGGAAAACAACTACACTCGGGAATTATAATTAAAAGTTGCTGAACAGCTGTCATTGACAAGAGCTGTGACAATGATTAACTGTTGAACTTTTGGGGGAAAACAACATGTTTAGATTTAAAGACAATAGCTCGTTAGGTTAAGGAAATGTTTATAAGGTTCCTTACATTAAGAAGGAAGTCATCACAAGGATTAGTTTTGCCAAAAACAATTCACCAATCTACTGATTTTTAAGAATTATTTTAAGTTTTAACCATAACGTTTTTAAAAATAAGAAAAACCACAAGAGAGGGTTCTGGGAATTGTATTTGCTGGGTGTGTCCATTCTCAGCCAATCGGAGCATGGACACAACTAGGCTTTTTATTGGCTGAGAAATAGACAGAGAGTAAAATTTTCAACTCCCATCATGCTCCGAGAGGAGACTTTTCAATGCCCATCAGCATCTACCAACTGGGAAAAAACATCTATCATTCATTTACAACTTTGGAACAACATCAGCAAAGAAATATTGCTACAGAAGAGACCTTATAACAATCCAAAAATTGTGACGGGCAACTGTGCTGTTCACCCACCATGCTCTGCTCCTTGGAAAGGGATGAGATGGTGTACCGTGTGAATGTCAGATCTCCAATGGAACACAGTCTGGTCACTTGCCTCCTTTTCTCAAAGAAAAAGCAAGGAGTGCAATTTTGGAGGTACTATTCTTAGGGGGGAAAGGATGCATTTTAGACATTTTGGAATTATTGGAAAAGTGGCAGATTTGCAAGGAAGCAGTCTGGCCTAAGAGATGTTCTTCTCCAGGAGGCAGTGGGAGAAATGGTGATGTTTGCATGGGGATGAATAAATTTGTATGGGTAATGTGAATGCTGAGTAAAAATGTAACTCCCATTTGCCTGTTTGTTAGCCAATGTAGCTGTATATTGTTTGTGAATCCAATGTAGTTACATAGAATCTGTATGTCTGTATGTACAATGTTGTTCTGTGTGTAAAAGTGTAAACATTCTGATACCCTTTCTCTTACTGAAAAATTACAATAAAAAGAACCTGTGCTTTAAGGTTATTCATAACAAAAGTACCATGTAAATAACTTTCTTCTTGAGGCAGAGTGAAGAAAGAAAAAGATAGAACAGTCATCTGCATCTTTCAGTTGATACCCTTTTGATATACAAACCATCCAGAATAGCAACTCTGGGTAATTTTATGTCTATTACAAAATTACTATTGGATTAAACTAGAAAACTTTGAGGAACCTATCAAGTATTTTAAAAAAACGCCTGCAAAATATAGTTCTGTGCTCACTCAACTTGGCTGTTTTTTCATCACACTGTAAATTCACAATTACATTCAGGGAAAATTGTATCAGTTTCAACAAAACGCACAACAACTGAGTAAACTCATAATATGATCCACCAGAGAGTGGTGCATGAGTTTGCAAGGCAGATTTGACTGTTTCCAAATACTTGTAAATTGCTTAGATCTCAAGATTTCAATATAGTGTTATAATTGTTGCAACCCCATCACAAGAATCTAGATTTTTATATTGCCCTTGCATTTTTGTTTAAAAAATCCTTCCACTTCAAGACAAGAATTCATGATGCAGAACAGATACAATGAAATAAATAAACCAGATATTCAAAACCTGAACACACAAAATACTGGGGGAATCCATTGTAGTGACTTTTCTTAATAGTTATACATGATACTAGCAAAGTGTATGGTAAAATGTATGCAGCACAGTTATTTTAAGACATGAACATAAAAATGTACAGAGAATGCGAGATAGTGCTTTCTCGCAACTTACCAAGAATAGGATCCTGAATGTACTTAGATCGCCAAAGAATTCCTCACTGCTCACGGCTTTTGGGTCAAAACAGAAGTAGTCCCCCAAACAGTCATATAATTTAGTCATGTTGTTGTGCATGTTTGATAATTTTTCGTACTGCTCTCTGGAACTCTTTGCAAAGCTGTAACCTTCATGTTAAAGAACTATGAGTTTAAATAAGGAGCAATTCAGCATAAAAAACCATAAAGCTAGTTTTATCAGTTAGATGCAATCCATCTACAATGTCACCAATCCTTAAGTTAACTGCTATCTTTTTATTTAAAACATGGTTTCGGATTTTTAAATGCTTCAGAACCAGCAAAATTCCATACTACTCCTTGCAAAACTCTTGCTTATGACTGGATGGTAATTTCAAGCGGAACAGAGTTTGCTATTATCTATGGTTTCCTGTTTCACAGTAAGTTCAGGAAAAAAATTCCTATGTGAATATGGAGTTAGTACTGTATAATAAAGGTGTGCAGTTCACCCAAAAGACATCCCATTTCAGAGTCCATTGTTGACTGACACCTCATTCTGTTTACCAGGAAGTTACTAGAAATGGGAGGGGGGTATTGTCGTTTTCATTTGACAAAGATTCAGCCCATTGGCTACAATGGGAAACTTGGAAGGCTCAATCCTCAGTCATTTTAAGGCCTATCTCCATGAAACCTACCTCAGTTTGAGACCCCATTTACAACTGCAGGCCTGTCAAGTTCAAAACAATTCACCAATCTACTGATTTTTAAGAATTATTTTAAGTTTTAACCATAACATTTCTAAAAATAAGAAAAACCGCAAGAGAGGGTTCTGGGAATTATATTTGCTGGGTGTGTCCATTCTCAGCCAGTCAGAGCATGGACACAACCAGGCTTTTTATTGGCTGAGAAATAGACAGAGAGGAAAATTTTCAACTCCCATCATGCTCTGAGAGGAGACTTTTCAATACCCATCCTATGCAAGTGTTGTAGGGAAAGCAAGTTCCCATCAGGGCTCTCTCTGGAGGAGGAGCCTGGGAAAGTTTCCCAAAAATACACTGCTGCTGGGGAGGGAGAATATTTATTTATTTATTTATTTATTTATTTTATTTAGAACTTTTATATACCAGTCTTCTCACCTCCGCAGAGGGACTCAGGCCGGTTCACAACAACAGTATCACAGACAATTGTTTAAAAACTTCACATCCCATAATACACTAAAACATTAAAATACTAAAATACAATCACATAATTACATTGGCCAAGTCATCAAAATAAAATGGTAGTTCATCACCATCCGTCCGTGTAGTCACGGGTTATTGACTCACTTGTCAAATGCCAGTTTCCAGAGCCAAGTTTTCACCTGTTTTCTAAAAGTCAGGAGAGAAGGGGCAGTTCTAATCTCCAGTGGGAGGGAGTTCCAGAGCTGAGGGGCCACCACCAAGAAGGCCCTGTCCCTCGTCCCCTGCTTCAGGTATATTGCAGATTTAACCCCTTCCTATCCAGGAACTGGATAAATCCAGCTCCCTTAATCCATTTTGCCGGGCTTTTTGACTCCCTCCTTCCCATTCTGTTTTTGGAGATTACATAAAACAGCCCACCGAATACTACAAATCATTTTTGTTCAAACTGATTAGGTACCAAACTTACTGTATAGACAACGTAGGAGTTCTTCATGTCAACTGACTTCACATATTCCATCACAAACAAATGGGGCAAGAAATGGGGAATTTTGTGACGGTAAAGGCTTAATAATTCAACATTAGCATTAACAACATAAAGCCTCCATTAAAATAATAGAGCACAAGTACTGCATTAAAACTGATATTCCTTGTTCTGAATATTTTTTTTTTACTTGTTATGGGTGCAAATAAATCAAAGGTATTTGCCAGTTCAACAAAGGATATGGACATCTTCTCAACAAATTTATCATGTGGATCTTCTGTTTTCGGAAACTTCTTAATATCACTTTCCAAACGCTCTATCTGCTGTTTCATAGAATCAAGGCTGCTCTTAAGAATCTGAGCTGAAACTGAAGGGAAAAAAATGTTAAGTGAAAAACTATGGGAAAGAAAATCATTGTCAGAGATAGTCGTCATAATGGCAGTTTGGATAGTGCCATTAAAATGTGATCCCATTTTTCTGAATTAATGCTCACAAAAGGTCTACTCTTCAAAAAATATGTGAGAATGTACAGCATAATATATGAAATTATCTTGCTTAATGGGAGGATGTCACAATTTTATTCCAACAGTAGTTGGAATTAATCTACTTTCTCTTCGAATGTATTGAAAGAAATACTAATATTTCATTCCTTTATATCAAATTTTTTGGATTAATCACAAACTAAGATTCAAATGATTCTAACTTAATAATACATATCGTTAGTCATGTAAATAATTTAAAGACAGCATATAGAAGAGATGAGTTTTAACTGGCTCTGTTGTAGTATCCCAAACTGTATAATCTTGCCCATAGAAACGACTTCTCTTTACAATTTCAACCTCATTTTATAACTAAGGCTGATGTAAGGCAGCATGTAGATTTATTTATCCTGCCTCCATGGATTTCAGTGTATTTTCTTAGAGAATTAATATTCAGAGATGGCAGTTCCTTACTTAGAATTATAGCCTACAGCATTTGGTATTTGTTGGCAGTCTCCAAATACACTTACTACCCAGGACTGACCCTTATCTTCCAAGTTATCAGCCTTACTAAAATGTTTAGTTAGGCTGATAAATCAGAATCACTGGCGCCTGCAATAAGGGGAAAGGACGATGTAATGGTCTGAGCTTCAACTCTGCCAGATGTAAACAACAGAAAAGAACTAGGCTTAAAGGAGAGAATTTAATTGGTAGCCTCCCACTTTGTAAACAATGTAAGCTGGACATGTATATGCCACAGGAACACGATTCAGATCATTGAAATAAGCCAGCAGAAATCCACACTCTATTGCATCTTTTAAACATCCTTCAATACTGAAGATATTTTATGCCTTTGTGCTTTCTTGTTTTTTGGGGGTTTTTTTGGCGTGTCAGGAGCAACTTGAGAAACTGCAAGTCACTTCTGGTGTGAGAGAATTGGCCATCTGCAAGGACATTGCCCAGGGGACGCCCTGATGTTTTGAAGTTACCATCCTTGTGGGAGCCTTCTCTCATGTCCCCGCATGTCTTTTGTAACACAGTTAAGCTCCCATGGGTAGAAATCTACATTTGACATTAAAGCATGTGGGTGGTTGTGGCTGGGTATTGTTTTCAAGATGTTTCCAAATTATGGAAACTCTTAAGCCAATCTATCATGAGATTTTCTAGGCAAGATTGGACCATATGGGAACTCCCTCTGATACTGAGAGACTCCGACCTGCCCAAGGCCACCCAGTAGGTTTCTGTGGTTGAGCAGGGATGCAAACTCTAGTCTTGAGCTTTCCCATAGTATATGCTACCATATTTACTCAAGTATAAGCTGACCTGAATATAAACCGAGACACACCTAATTTTACCACAAAAAAACCTGGGAAAATGTACTGACTCGAGTATAAGCCGAGGGTGAGAAATACAGCAGCTACTGGTAAATTTCAAAATAAAAATAGATACCAATAAAATTACATTAATTGAGGTATCAGTAGGTTAAATGTTTTTGAATATTTACATAAAACTGTCATTTAAGATAAGACTGTCCAGTTCTGATTAAACCATTATTCTAACCTTCTTCAATGTAAATGTGCTTGTGTATACTTCCAATATTAATAAAGTGAGTAAAATAATAAATGTAATAAGAAATAGAACAAAATAATAAATGTAATAACAATAGTAAATAGAGTAAAATAATAAATGAAATAATAACTAGAGCAGAATAATAAATGTAATAAAATAATAATAAAATATAGTAAAATAATATGAATGTAATAATAATAATAATAATACATGAATAAAATAATAAATGTAATAATAATAATAATAACAGAGTAAAATGATAAATAACTTTGACTTGAGTATAAGCCAAGGGGGGCTTTTTCAGCCTAAAAAGTGGGTTGAAAAATGCAGCTTATACCCAAGTATATATGGTCATTCTTATCACTGTCATCATGCCATGTACCTTTGCTTGCACTTTCCACATGCTGAAGCTCATCTGGAAATTTTAAGATGTCCCGATATTTTTCTTCACAAATGGCAGCCAAGAATTGCAAGAGTGTCATTTTTTGATCTGATGATTTCGTATCTCTAATCTGTCATTGGAAAGAAATGGAGAGGGGGATATATGCACTATTTTTAGCAATATTCCCTCCAAAAAAAAAAAAACATTTGCAAAACACGACACTGGATCAGTTGCCGGATACAGATTACGTGCATTTCAAGATAAATGGCATTATTGGTGTTTGCAATTTAGTAAGAGACCCAATTTTTTGTTGTCAATATTGGGAAGAGAGAGCAGCGAGGGAGACACAAAGACTGTGAAGCAAAGAGAGAGTTTTACAGTTTTTTTTTAAATGAAATGAATTAAAAGGAAAGAGAGAGAGAGAGAGAGAACAAAAGTCTGCTCCAGCATGCTTGTGGGGGGTATAACTAACTGTCGAATTAATGCAGTTTAACTGCAATAACTCAATGCTATGTAATTTCAAATTCTTTAGCCTTCTCTTCAAAAGGGTGCTGGTGTGTCACCAAACTACAGATACCAGAATGCCATTGAACTGAGTCATAATAAAGTGGTGCCAAACTGCATTAATTCTACAGTGTAGAACCCAAACTGGGCTTGTGATGACAGCGGCTTTCCTAAGTGGACACTCTCCAGAGGCTTCTAGTTCCTGTTTTCATAATAAGGAGTGAAGGCCAACCCATGTTTTTAGGAGGTTTTGTCCAACTCCACGCGAAAAAGTAACAGACAGAAGAATGGTAATTTGCCCACAAAGCATTATTTGCAGATATCTCTCCTCCAAGAAATGTCCTAATATAGGCACAAGAAACTCACAGTAACATTAAAGATCTTTGGAACATGAATTCATTTAAGCTTTGGAAGATCACTACAATAATATAATGAATGCTTCTAAACATCGGGCTTACCTTGCACAGAAAACTAAGATTGAAGCCCAATGACTGGGCATTTCTTGAGCCAGAATTCATATAGTTCCCTATCAACAACATCAGTTCCAACAGCTTGCTAAAGCTTTCACTCTTCTTCACCTCCTCGCAGGCCATCGTCACTGCCATAATGCCCGGCCTGATATTATTTATGTGCTCTTCAAAGGTTAGCTTGAAAAGGATGCCGTTCAGGCGAGGTCGCAACGCTTTAACTGAGCTCATCTGAAAGAAAAGGCAAAGCTTGGGGATCATGCGGAAAAGCATTTTCCATGCAACAGAACAAAAGAAGTTTGGTGTGTGTTAAACTTCTATTAGCTGTAGCAAACCTTGGATTCAGTTGCATGAAAACACAGGGATATAGTTGTCAAGGTTTAGAAAAAAAATCTTCAGACCTGGCTTTTTACACAGGCGTTTGGTGAATAGGCAATTACGGAATGAGACTTTAACAGCTTGAATAATGGACTATAGATTTTGGAAAACAATTATGGTTATGAGATCATGACTCAGCATTTTAAATGGTTTTAATCTGTTTGATTAATTTTTTGTTTTAATTAATTATTTAATTTGTTTGTTGTTCTACAGAGACACTCGTTGGAGCACCTCAGCAGGCTAAAACCCAGAGCCTCAATCAATGGCTGATACCAAATGAGAGACTCCCCCCTGGGCACACAGAAGACTGGGCGACTTGGAAGGCGCTGAACAGATTGTGCTCTGGTACCACGAGATGCAGAGACAACCTTAAGAAATGGGGCTACAAAGTGGAATCCACAACATGCGAGTGTGGAGAAGAGCAAACCACTGACCACCTACTGCAATGCAACCTGAGCCCTGCCACATGCACAATGGAGGACCTTCTTATAGCAACACCAGAGGCACTCCAAGTGGCCAGCTACTGGTCAAAGGACATTTTAATAGAATGCCAAGTTTGCAACTTTTGTGTTTTTTTTTAAAATACAATACAACTGTTTGGTTCGATCCTGACACGATAAGTAAAATGAATAAAATAAATTTGTTTGATTGACTGATATGTATTTTAATTGCTTATATGTTTAGATCGTTTTATATTTTGATGAGATGTGTTTTATTGTTTATGTGTGAGGCATTAAATTTTTGCTGGATTTGTAAGCTGCCTTGAGACCCCTCTGGGGTTGAGAAAGGTGGAGTAGAAATGAAGTAAATAGATAAGGTATATTTGCAGCTATTAATTTAAGTAGGTGGTTTTAATAGTCAGTGAGTGGATAATGTGCACCTTTTGTAGTCACTTGATGGAAATCAACTACACAAACTACAAAAGTTTATTAAATAACTACTGTAGTCATATCTGTTTTGCACATTGTATTCATGTTTTGCAACATAAAGCTAGGCAATAACAATCTCACACTTCAAATCAGTTTTCATTTTTGTTATTTAACAAACTTTGCAACATTTGGGGCTATTGTACAACACTAGCATCAATGTAACTGCATTTCTTTAGCTTGCAGCTGCCTTTGCCACTTTATAGAAAGATATGACGCAGTGGGTTAAACTGCTGAGCTGCTGAACTTGCTGACTGAGAGGGCGGCGGTTCGAATCCACAGGACAGGTTGAGCTCCCGCTATTAGCTGAGCTCCTGCCAACCTAAGCTGTTTGAAAACATGCAAGTGTGAGTAAATCAATAGGTACCGCTTTGACGGGAAGGTAACACCGCCTCATGCACTCAAGCTAACCACATGACCTTGGAGGTGTCTATGGACAACACTGGCTCTTCTGCTTAGAAATTGAGATTAGCACGAACCCCCAGAGTTGGACACAATGAGATTTAATGTCAGGGGAAACCTTTATCTTTACATGATTAGTATAATTTCTTGTTTCAAAATAATACAATTATATGAAGCCTATCACTTATTTATATTTGTAGATGTAGATAACTATAGATAGATAGATCCTATCTTGAAACACCAGAAATATTTTTAGTCAAATAACATCAGGGGATTTTTTGAATTCTGAAACATAGGACAGTATAATGTGGCATCAAAGGGTGATAGCTTCCTTTTGGCAAACATCATTAACCACATCTTCCTCACATTAGATGCAAAATTTCATTTGACAGCAGGATATAACTCCAAAACTGTGTTTAATCTAATATAAAATTCATCTCAATGCTTCATCTATATGAAAATGTGATGCTCCGATCTTCACAGGCAAGAAATGCTAAGCTAATTAGTCTATTATAATAAATAACCTAATTGCAAAGTGTGACTTTTCAAAATGAATTTTAAACATCTAATTCCTGACCTTGATTAGTTTCAATGAGTATATTGATTATCTAATTAAAACTTTATATTAATAATTAACTTAGCTAATTTGTATATGCAAATAGATATGTACTTTCTGAAAAGAAAAAAAACTTCAAAGACAGTCCTTCAATCATCCTTACTTACTTCTTAACCTGTTCTTGTGATCACGAGTAACAAGACTGTTAAATATATCATTGTAACCTCACTAATGAAAATTCCCATAAACTTTTTTTTGTCGTGTCAGGAGTGACTTGAGAAACTGCAAGTCGCCTCTGGTGTGAGAGAATTGGCCATCTGCAAGGACGTTGCCCAGGGGACGCCCGGATGATTTTTTGTTTTTGTTTTTATCATCCTTGTGGGAGGCTTCTCTCATATCCCCGTATGAGGAGCTGGAGCTGATAGAGGGAGCTCACCCGCCTCTCCCCAGATTCGAACCTGCGACCTGTCAGTCTTCAGTCCTGCCGGCACACTGCGCCACCGGGGGCCCCATAAACTGTTAAAGCAACTTGCTAAAGCAATCCCTAAGTTGGACACTGAATCGGAACTGCAGAATGACATTATAATACAGAACATACCACAACTCCAAACTGTTCTGGCTCACAGAGGTCTTCGTATTCACTCTTCAACTCGGCTAAGGCACTGAGCTCCTTCTGTTCAGGGAGGTTTTTAACTAAATTCTAGTATGAAAAAAAACCAGAAATCAGAATGACTATCATATTTTCTGTTTTGTCGAAGGCTTTAATGGCTGAAATTACTGCTGTGAGTTTTCCGGGCTGTATGGCAATGTTCCAGAAGCATTCTCTCCTGACGTAATTTCCAACAGACCTCTCAACCTCTGAGGATGCCTACCACACCTATTCCAGGCAGGAAACAATCAGGGCCATCTAACGCCTCCCAACAAAGGGTTTCCCCAGGCAGGAAGCAGCCAGGATTTGAAGTTGCAAGGCCATTCAGTGCTAATCAAGTGCCTCAAACAGACAACAGTACTTTCTCCCACTCTGGACATTTCACATATATAAACCCCATTTGCCTAGTTTACAACAGACCTCACAACCTCTGAGGATGCCTGCCATAGATGTGGGAAAAACATCAGGAGAGAATGCTCCTGGAGCATGGCCATACTGCCCAGAAAACTCACAGCAATCAAGTGATTCTGGCCATGAAAGACTTTGATAACACAATATTTATAAGATATAAACAAATTCTTCGAGAGCATCAGCTAAATTTACAAATATTAGAACAACTAGTTTTGAATACTGTTGTAAGTTGCTCTGCTAACTTACCTGAATCAATGCTTCACTTAGTTTTTCTTCATCTACTTCTATAATAATGTTTTTAATTTCATCGTAAGGCATGCGGAAAGACCCCAAGAAAATGGCTGAAAAAGACACCATAACAACACATTGAGAAAATATCGTCAAGATAATAAGGACAATAGAGAAACAGCTCATTTGAAATTCAGAGTATTTCATTAATTGACATTCTTTACAGAGCAAAACCACAGAACTAGATATGGAATGTAGTCGGACTAAGCACAACAAACAGCGTAATGAAATATTTGCAACAAATAAATAGGAAACAAGTGATGTGCAAAGCAAAAGAATGTATATGTTACGTACACAAATTCTGTGCTGTCTTCCCATCCAAAACCCTCAGTTCTTTAGCTCTCTTCTTAGGCATGGCTATCTTCTTTTCTTCTGTACCCTCAACCGCTTTTTTAGCTGTAAAAAAAAGCACTTTAACAGTATACAGATATTTAACAGATGCAATGTTTGTACATTCAGACTGAATTTCCACTGCATCAAGTCTCAAAATTCAGATGGTATGCTACTTGGATCTATAATTTGCCCTTCAAAGTGCTGTGCAGAGAAATTATATAAAAGTGACAATAGTAAGACACCACTGCTAGATATGAAAAATACAGTGAGCCAATTACCCTTCATCTGTGTAGCGAACGTGAGTGCCAATTTTGCAAAAAGATCTTGACTTGCAAATTTTTCTTCTTTAGCTTTTAGCCAAAAACAGTTTTCTGATATTTCTTGTGGTTCAACCTGAAAACATAATAAAGACAGTTACTTAGGTACCTACAGGGACTATGCAGGCTGCTAATTTAAACAAAATGGCAATTCTAATGATCGGCACAATCCAAAATCAAGCAGAAGCGTATTTTTAAAAGCAAGAAGTAAAACATAGAAATCTGAAAACATCATTTCTAATCTTCCTCGGCAAATCAGAAACAAGGTATGAGAATACAGGGGTTTTTGTTCTCTAAATCAATAAAGCATGGTAATGTGTTGTCAAAGGCTTTCATGGCCTGAAAAACTGGGTTGCTGTGAGCTTTCCTGGGTCTATGGCCATGTTCCAGAAGCATTCTGTCCTGATGTTTTCTCAACATATATGGCAGACATTCTCAGAGGTGTGAGGTCTATTGTAAAGTTTATATATAAACCTTACTTGCATAGCTTCCTACTCACAGCAACCCAAAGCATAGTAAATATTGATGTACTTAATTAATGCCTTCTTTTCTCTCTAGAAACCTCAAGGATGCAAAATGCTGGTAGCTGATACATGGATTCTGCTCAACATATGCTGTCCAACAAATTCTTTATGTGCCTTGCAGATAATTTCCAATTTCAAAACAAAGAAGGCAAAAGTGGATCAGAAATCAAAAGCCTGATCCTAGCTCACTTCCCCAACTGTTGGGGAAGTGACAACTAAAACTAAAATGATCAAGGGTCTGGAGAACAAGCCCTATGAGGAGCAGCTTAAAGAGCTGCTCCTCATAGGGCTCCTCATATTTAGCCTGAAGAAGAGAAGGCTGAGAGGAGACATGATAACCATGTATAAGTATGTGAGAGGAAGTCATAGGGAGGAGGGAGCAAGCTTGTTTTCTGCTGCCCTGCAGACTAGGACACAATGGAACAATGGCTTCAAACTATAAGAAAGGAGATTCCATCTGAACATTAGGAAGAACTTCCTGACTGTGAGAGCTGTTCAGCAGTGGAACTCTCTGCCCCAGAGTGTGGTGGAGGCTTTTAAACAAAGGCTGGATGGCCATCTGTTGGGGGTGCTTTGAATGCAATTTTCCTGCTTCTTGCCAGGGGCTTGGTTTGGATGTCCCATGAGGTCTCTTCCAACTCTATGATTCTATGACCATGCAGTGCTAGAATTCACAATTGTGGGACAAATAAAAGGAAAGTACAAGGGATGTGACTGACAGGCCCTGGCAGCTTTTTTCAACTCTGTGATGCAATGAAGCTGACAGATGTTTGCCCATTACCAGGCATGTCGAAACCCCAAATAATATACACCTAAAACTCCTTAAAGCCATTCAAGAGGTTAACATACTGACAGGTTATTATTACAAGGGCTAGTATGACAATTAATTAATACTGGCCAACACATATTTTGGTGCATCAAATGTTATCTCTGTTTCTGGATATATCTGACCTGCTCATTCCAAAAATGGTGCCATTTTTCCCTTATCAGCTCTAGTTTTTGAGATCCAGAACATATGCCATCTACCAGTCTTCATCTAGTGGCTCATTAAAGAAACCATGATAACCATATCTAGGACTGTCTGATTCAGTTCCTTATATTTTGCTTTCCTTTTCACTCTGTCAATAAGCCTCCTCCATTTCGAATCCCAATTCTCCTTCTCAGTGGTGGCCCCTCTGCTATGGAATGCCTTGTCGGCAGACATCAGACAGGCACCTTCGTTGCTGGCGTTTCGGAAAAAGGTTAAGACCTGGCTTTATGAACAGGCGTTTGGTTGAACAGTGCAATCAATCAAGGAAGACGGTAAATGGAACATAGGAATGGCACAAGGATTATGAGAACGGATCTGATTTCACTGAGGCGTTATGTTGTGTGTGTTGACTGTCCTGTTCTGTTTTGTTAACTGTTGTGGATTGATGTTGTTGATCCTGTTTGTCGCACTTGTTGCGTTTTAATTGCACTGACACTGTTAATAATTTGTACCATGTAAACCGCATAGAGTCGCCTGTCTGGGCTGAAATATGCGGTATAGAAATAAAGCAAATAAATAAATAAATAAATATATCCATTAGTATATTTTATTCTTCTTTCAGTGATATAATCTTGTAGCATATAATCTGATAGTCATACCATGTTTTCATTTCCCATTTCCTTTGCTCTTTCTATCCGAAAGCTACAATTTTCATGACTGATCAAATAAAATAATAATCAGAGCAAAGGTATAACTGTTCCCAGGGGAAGGAGGAAGAGGGAAAGGGAAAATGGATATCTTTAAGTAGTAGATAAGTATAGAAATGTAATTGTTATAATTTGTCTGCATAACCAAATAAAAACATGATTTTAAATACAAAAATAACCATATCTAAGAAACTAGAGCTGATGTGGTCTAGTCAATTCAATGTTCTGTATCAGCCTAAAAACCAAAACAAAACCTTTTTTACTTTTGGTTGGGCTGTGTAATAAGTACCAACATTTTCACATTCAAACAAAAATTCTGCTACTCCTGTCTTTTAAGATCAGGATTTTTTCAAAAAGCCAATTAGGTGTGACAATGAAATACCTTTGTCCAATTTATTCTCTTCATAGACACTTCAGGACTGTATTTTTTCTTAGGCGTCATTCCAAAAGGCAGCTGTGGCACAGTTCCTAAAGAGGGGGGGCCACCAAATGGAGGCGGTGGTGGCGGAATACCTCCAGGCATGGGAGGCGGTGGTGGTATGGCCCCCCCAGGCAAAGGAGGAGGCGGTGGTGGTGGCGGCGGCAAACCACCAGGCAATGGTGGCGGTGGAGGCGGTGGTGGGCAAGGGGTTGCACCACCAGGAAGAGGGGGTGGCGGCGGTGGAGGAGGGATGCCTCCTGGAGGTAAGCCACTCGAACACGAAGGAGCCTAAAAAAAAAACAACCTGTTTTAGATATGAGAGCACAACCCACACAACAGACAGAAGAAGCTGGCAAATTTGCATTCTGATCACAATATGAGAAATATTACATTTTGGATATTTTATTTATTTATAGTGTCAGGAGCAAATTGAGAAAACTTGACATTATGTTAAATTTCCTTTGACCAGAAGCTGGCCACTTCAAGTGCCTCTAGTGTGGCTGTGAGGAGGTTCACCATTGTGCATGTGGTGGGGCTCAGACTGCATTGTAGTAGGTGGCCTGTGGTTTGCTCTTCTCCACACTCACATGCCATGTACTCCAATTTGTTGCCCCAATTCTTAAGGTTTGCTCTGCATATTGTGGTGCTAGAGGACAGCCTGTTCAGTGCCTTCCAGCTTGCCCAGGAAGGAGTTTCTCATCCTGTCTCAGGTCCTGATTAAGGTGCTGGGTTTAACCTGCCACTTTTGGATTCTCGCTTGCTGAGCTGTACCTGCAAGTATCTCTGTAGATCTTAGGAAGCTATTACTTTATTTCAGACATTGGCATGCTGGCTGATATCCAAACAGAGGATTGGACGGAGATGTCACTGTTTTTGGTCCTTTCATTATTGGTTGCTACTTCCTGGCAGATATCAGGTGGTGCAATACTGGCTAAACAGTATAATTTCTCCAGTGGTGTAGGGTGCAGACATCCTGTGATAATGTGGCATGTCTCATTAAGAGCCACATCCATTGATGTGGCTTGACACAAAAGTATGCCGGTTAGTGAAATTACGCCCTAAATGACTGAACATTGCTCCATAAATCCTTGACTGGAATATACTTGACAATGGGATTTGCTCTAACTCTGACATTTACAAAGATTTTTGTACTTCACAAAGCAAATCCATAGATTAGTGTCTGTGTTTCTCTCTTTTATTGTTGATATGGTCGGTGAACTAATCAAAAAGCAAATCTATATATCTACTGATCTATATTACTGAAAGATAATGTGATTATTCCTAATCATTTTATATTGGCATCAGCCGTTTGATCAGATGTTTGACATTACATTGAGGAGCACTAAGTTCTATATGCAAATTTTTGTTACACACATGAATATAGATCAAGAGAATTAATGACATTTGAAGACAAGAAAAAAAATATTCATTAACTAAATACATCCCAGAGCTTTAGGATATTTTTATCTCTGAGGTATTCATAGAATTTCTAAAAATGAAGTCAGTTGGCTGAAACAGAATTATCACCATAATTCCCATACTTAAATATTCACTGCCTCAGAAAATCCATCTTTTAAATGAGGTTAACAGCACAGGCAGAAAAATTAAGGTGAAAATCTGGCTTCTGGATAAGGTTTGTAATAAATTTCATTTTTACTGGCACATATATGTACCAATATAAACTTTCAGACACACGGGGAAAACCTCTCAGGCCTGGACAGCAGTGCCACATCAGCATGACCCCCTTACAATAAAAAGTGGCACTGCTCCCATAAAAAGCTATAAACTGGAAATGTACTCCTCAGGGCTCAGAATAAGTCCTACTTCTCTGGCAGACTAACAAATGTATGTGTTGTTGAAGGCTTTCATGGCCGGAATCACTGGGTTGCTGTGAGTTTTCCAGGCTGTATGCTCCAGAAGCATTCTCTCCTGATGTTTCACCTACATCTAGGGCAGGCATCATCAGAGGATGTGAGATCTGTTGGAAACTAGGCAACTGAAGTTTATATAACTGTGGAATAATGTCCAGGATGGGAGAAAGAACTCTTGTCTGTTTGAGGCAAGTGTGAATGTTGCAATTGGCGACCTTGATTAGCATTTAATGGCCTTGCAGCTTGAAAGCCTGGCTGCAAGACTTGTATACTATGCAGGTGTGGACAAGTCTATATAGGGACTACCTAACAAATGACTGCCTTTCCAACATTTATGTTTAAGGTAACCCTTGAAATACTAGAGACTATTGATGCAAGAACTATAAACAAATTATACAGGAAGCTTTGCATCCTTCATCATGCTTACCATAATATTAACGCGAAATCTTAACTAATCACTGTGGAAATAAAAATTCCACTTATTAATTTCCAGTAGCATTTGAGAGCTTAATATAGCCAAGAAAATGTCACCCTAACTACCAGCACCTTATGCACAAAATATCCCTAGATTGGAAGACAGATCTTCTAATAGTGTTTTGGTATAGATAAATCCAGTATCAATGGCTTATTTACATTATGCAATTTTTACACTTGGGAATCAGCAGAGCCAACAGCACCAGAGGAACTAGCTAGTAACTACTGATCTCTGAAATGCTTGCAAAACCAATATTCTGCACTGTAACCAAACAGCTTCTTATTTAAATTAAGGTTATTGACTTGTTAGATAACTGAACTGTGTTGCAAAGTTATTTTGTTTTTGTTTTATATAATGGTTGTGTGTTTCAAATAAGGTAATTCATTATGTAAGGTAACTACATTGCTTCTTCATTTTGTAGGTTGCCATCACAAATTTGGCAGTAAATGAAGACAAAGGGCCCGTCATCTGTCTCAGCTTGAAGCACATTTTGACACAGTATATAGCTGAACTCCTTCCATTACCTGGGATTGTAGCCGCTGAATTTCAGCTTCAAGTTCTTTGATCCTCTCTTCTCGTTTTTGAAGCTCACCTTGTGCCTCTTGTCGAGCTGCAAACTCTTCATCAAACTGCAATGATCACCAATACAGACACATTTGTCCAAACAATATCAAACTTACTGAGCATTCAATTTTTTGCGTATTTACTGTATTTTTACCCTGATATAGGAACACAAAGCAAGGGTGTAATTCAGAGTGAGAAAAGTAACAGGAACATGTTTGGCTTCCTAGATCAGTAAATAAGGAGGAGGAGGGAAACAACACCATATCATATTCACACTTGTTCATTGTGATAGTCATCTGGAATTAGATGTCTTCATACTGAAGTTAACTATCACACATGTAAGACTCACTATCTTATACATTTTGATTACACTTTACAGCACATTTTAAGATATTATATACTTATACCCAAACTGTCAGAGAATATACTCAAGGCACTACTTTTATTAATGTAATATAATAACTGCATTAAATCTTAAGAGTATCTGGTCTACAGATTTGAAAACACCAGTGCTCAGAATAACTGGGCTTACCTTTTTGGAAAATTCTGTAGCTTTTTGCTCACTTTCTTCTACTTTTGCTTTGTCCACACAGCTATCTGAAATTATAAGGGCAAACTTGATTTTCCAAAGCAGATACATATGAAATTATATTGCCTTTAGTAACAATCCCCCTTAAGTTTGATAGACAAGAGTCCACAGAAAACAGTAGTATTTCCAGGTACAGCAGAAATTCAGAAATCTGAAATGCAATGTAATCATAGCAATAATAATAATGATGATAATGATAATGATAATAATAATAAAACTTTATTTATATATATCACCCTATCTTCCTTAGGGGACTCAGAGTGGTTTCCACATATGCAAAATAATACAAAAACATACAATATAAAACAGAGACATAGGTATAAAGTGTTAACACAACATATACATTAAAATCAATTTAAAACCAGCAATGCAATGTATTCTGAGTAAAAGTAGTTTTAAATTGGGTCATCCAAGAATTATTTCATAGGCTAGTCACACTCGTGATGAATGAACAATAATTTTATTTTAAATGAATATATTAAAAATAATTACTAAGATTTAGAGAGATCTTGTACTAAGATACACCTACCTATAAGATGAGTGAAATCTACATCCAACCGCCCTCTACATTTGAAGTCAGGATCCATACCACTACAATGCAAGACTATTTGAGAAACACATTCTTCTATTATCTTGTAATACTGAGGGCTAGAACAAAAAAAGAGGATTATTTTTATTAATATAGTAACTATTAAAAAGTAATCATTTAGAGGGGGAGGATTGTTCTTACACGCATACAACAAATGATTTTTTAAAATCTGAACTTGATCCATCTATGTTAACAGATTTCTGCAAGCCAAACAGAATATGATCAAATTGTATTATATTGAGAGATAAAATGGCAAAATGAAAGGCTGCATCTTTCACACCCTTGTTATGTCAACACCAAATTCAAAACAGAAAAAAATATATATACTTACCGAACATAGTAATCATTTCTGATGAGTAGAAAATGTTGCAAAATGGATAGGAAGTAGCTTTCAGATGATGTTTCTTTCAGCATGTTGTATAGAAGGTGGTAAACTTCATTCACATCAGTACAAAGAATGTCAAGGAAATGACAAAAAGTTCTGCAAGAATAGATTACATTTGCAGTGACCAGGAATCAAGGCATCCTGAAATCTGTGGGTCATGCAAATGAGGAAGACAGACATCTATTGTTTCCAACACTTTGCAAATAATTTTAATTTAAAAACCCTATCTGTACCCTATAGCCCTATACTGAAGAAGATAAATCCGTTTCAGTAACACTGTGCAACATGATTTTTGTTCCTGGGTTATAAATGCCATTTCCTAATTGGTTCTATTATAAAAAATTAGAAAAGTTCATTAAACTGCAAAAACTTTGTTTTTGGGGGGACATCCCACTGCACATTTTGTTCTAGTTTTTCAATGAATATCTCCCAGAGGTTCAACCAATTCAAGGAGCCATGGTGGCGCAATGGGTTAAACCCTTGTGCCGGTTGAACTGCCAACCTAAAGGTCGGCGGTTCGAATCCAAGAGACGGGGTAAGCTCCCACTTGTCAGCTTCAGCTTCTCATGCGGGAACATGAGAGAAGCCTCCCACAGGATGGTAACACATCCAGGCGTCCCCTGGGCAATGTCTCTGCAGATGGCCAATTCTCTCACATCAGAAGCAACTTGCAATTTCTCAAGTTGCTTCTGACACAATAAAAAAATCATCTAGTTTGAGGCAGCCACAAACTGGAATAGAACAATTACTTTCAAAGGAAGGACTGCACAATAAAACAGAAAATAAGTTTCAAACCAGGAACAGATTTTTTTTCCCAATTTTTGTTACATAGTGTAATCTGTGTTCAGCTTAGAAAGTTACTATAAAAATGGTTCATCACCGCTCCAAACCATCAGAGAGTATATTAAGCAATGTTGTTAATAAAAGTTATTTGTAATCAATAATATCTTCATGTGTGCTTTGATTATCTAAAGCAAATCTATTGAATATTTGGTGCTCTAATTTTCTTATCCTTTACTGATTCTTTATGTAAACTCTTTTAGAAATGGACACTGACTTAAAACGGTCTGTTTTTTTTATCATCGCCATTTTTTCTTAAGTGAAAACATTTCACTTTTTAAAAGGATATTCCATTTCAACTTTGATGTCATTGAAACGATGGGCCAATTCAAGTAAATCTTCGTCTTTGTTTTCATCAAACACTTTCAGCTGAATATCAAGTTCTTCATTCTCCTTCTCCTTCAGATCCTAGTATTTCACAAAATACATGGAACCATTTGACTCAACGCATTTCTTCAAATGATCTCTGTTATACTTAATAATACAACTAAATATAAAGACACAGTTGAAAGTTGTATGCTGAGTTTCACAGTAGATGTTGCAGGCACCAAATACCCTGGTTATGAGTAGAAGCCTATCCAACACAGCACGATACAGGATTCTATTCTATTTGTATGTAAGACAAAGAGACATTATGACAAAACACAGCACGTTCATCCACTTATTCTATAGGCATTAACCATTATTCTAGACTTGATCTAGGACAGTGTTTCTCAACCTGGGAGTCAGGACCCCTGGAGGGGTCATGAGGAGGTATCAGAGGGGTCACCAAAGACCATAAGAAAACATAGTATTTTCTGTTGGTCATAGAGGTTCCGTGTGAGAATTCTGGCCCAATTCTATCATTGGTGGGGTTCAGCATGTTCTTTAATTATAGGTGAACTATAAATCCCAGCAACTACAACTCCCAGATGTCAAGGTCTATTCTCCACAAACTCCACCACTGTTCACATTTGGGCATATTGAGTATTCATGCCAAGTTTGGTCCAGATCCATCACAGTGCTCTCTGGATGTGAGTGAACTACAACTCCAAAACTCAAGGTCAGTACCCACCAAACACTTCCAGCATTTTCTGTTGGTCATGGGAGTTCTGTATGCCAAGTTTGGTTCAATTTCATCGTTGGTGGAGTTCAGAATATTCTTTGATTGTAGGTTTACTATAAATCCCAGCAACTACAAGTCCCAAATGACAAAATCAGTCCCTCCCCAACCCCACCAGTATTCGAATTTGGGCTTATTGGGTATTTCTGCCCAATTTGGTCCAGTGAATGAAAATACATCCTGCATATCAGATATTTACATTACGATTCATAACAGTAGCAAAATTACAGTTATGAATGTAGTAAACAAAATAATGTTATGGTTGGGGGTCATCACGACATGAGGATCTGTATTAAGGGGCCGCGGTATTAGGAAGGTTGAGAAACACTGATCTATTAGGATTCATGTAACTCTTGACACAAACTCTTTCTTACCATGGCTTATTAATTCATTTGATATATTCAAGCACAACAGTCCCAAGTATGGCGTATTGAGAATTCTGTTTCAATTGTTGTTTCTACTTTGCTATGACAACCGTGAAGTTCAATTCCAGGGTGTGTGCCCAATAAAGGAATTTGCCTTGTTTATGTTTCTCACAAGGAAATTCAAATGTAATATTATAAAAAGTTATCTCTTATTATAGAATTGGCACACATTCACCACATTCACATGATTAATTCTCCTTATAATTAATCAGTATGCGTGTGCTTTTGTCAAGAACACAAGAGCGCCTCATGCATTAGCAAACCACATACCAAATGGTATTTAAAGTGATATTCAAATACTTTAAAAGAGAAGGCTGGCTAAAGCAAATTCATTCCAAAGCCTCTAGTGAAGAATTATCTGTGCTTATGTCATCCTCCTTATTGCACATAACTTTGATCTACATGACATGAGCCAACAATGTCACTTGGCAGCTAAACAAGCTAATGCGATTTTGGCCTGCATAAATAGGAGTCAAGTGTCTAGATAAGGGAAGTCATGCTACCCCTCTATTCTGCCTTGGTCAGACCACACCTGGGATCACACTGGGTCCAAATCTGGGCAACCGCAATTTAAGGGAGATGTTGACAAGCTGGAAAGTGTTCAGAGGAGGATGACACAAAGGATCAAGGGTCTGGAGAACAAGCTCTATGAGGAGTGTCTTAAAGAGGTAGGCATATTTAGCCTGCAGAAGAGAAGGCTGAGAGGAGACAGGTTGAGGGCCATGTATAAATATGTGAGGGGAAGTCATAGGGAGGGGGAAGCAAACTTGTTTTCTGCTTCCCTGGAGACTAGGACGCAATGGAACAATGGCTTCAAACTACAGGAAAGAAGAAGATTCCACCTGAACATTAGAAAGAAGTTCCTAATTGTGAGAGTTGTTCAGCAGTGGAACTCTCTGCCCTTGAGTGTGGTGGAGGCTCCTTCTTTGGAGGCTTTAAAAGAGAGGCTGGATGGCCAACTGTTGGGGGTGCTCTGAACGTGATTTTCCTGCTTCTTAGCAGAATGGGGATAGACTAGATGGCCCACATGATTTATCCACGAGGTCTCCTCCATCTCAAGGATTCTACACTGATTAATCCTAGAAGATTGTTTCACGTATAAATTTAGAACTGTAATTTTGCTTTCATAGATACACTAATAAAAATTAAAATCATCATCCATCTATACTCATAAGAAAATAACATATATGTCCTTCCACCATTCTTCAGCATCGCTGAGATATACAAATGTATATATTAAGTTCTAAAATGATTTTGGCCATGTCATGCAGCCACACTCCTCCATCACATAAAGAAGGCATGTTTAAATATGAAATAATTTAAACATATTAAAACCACATGCATCATTGTTTTGTTTTTGGTTTTTTTTTTTAAGAGTAAATAAAAATCCAAACTTCTACAGCATGCCACACTAGAGATTGTTGGGATTAATATATCACCTTGATGTTTCTTTTACTATGCTCCCTTTTATCTCGTAGCTTTCAAAAGACATTCCAAAATCACAAATGAGGACATTCAAAGATGGGAATAGGAGAAGTAGAGATGGCCAGGTGCCTACAACAGAAACGTCAGGAACGTGGAGCCCACAATTAGCCACATAGAAGCCACTGGACTGAATCATGATTAACGGATTTGCAAGTCACACATTTCAACTACAGAAAGACCTGTGAGTTATTTAATCATGCATGTAGCATTACAAATCGTATTTTCTTCTTGTCAAGTAAAAATTAGAAAAAAAATATTTTCAAAGGAAAGTAAACATTTTCACACACCATGCAAAAAAAATCACCCACTTTACTGAAAATAACAGTAAAATTTAAAAATAAGCATATAAGGAACATGTTGTATAGAGCTTTGGCAGCAATATGGATGCTTAACTAGAGAGCTGGCTCTGTCCCCCAAAACAATGCTATCATGGATTGGATTGATTAATGTTCTGTTTTATTCAATAGTTATTTCAATTGGTCTATCTTCATGCTTTCAAATTCATTTATAAAAACATGGATCCTTAATTATACCAATTGCAAAGAAATAATTTGGATTATTAATCTGCCATGATTAAATTTATATAACCCATGTCTATTGTGGGTTTTTTAAAAAATAGTATTGTATCTTGTTAAGGTATACAAAAAACGGATCAATACCAAGCTTGAAGTATGTATGTATGTATGTATGTATGTGTGTGCATCTATCTATCTCTGTTAAGGGGGAAAAAACTCATGCTGGTGATCATTATATGCAGGTGCCAATTAAGGCCAGCAACTATGGGCCACAGGCGGTCAAGTATAACTAGGTGTGCTTTGAAATACAAGGTGTTCTCTCCCTTGCTCACTCTCAGGGGTGGTGAGAATTGGAGAAGGCATGCTCTCTGCATTTATGTGATGCATACAAGGACTATGTAAGATTTGTTATTCTGAGAGATTTAGTTTTGATGCAATGCCGCAAGTTTATGTTCTTGACTCTGCTGGAAAAGAGTAAATGTATGTTTCCTCTTTCTGTGTGAAGCTAATGTGTCTTTGTCGGGTTATATTCCACATAAACCACAACATATTATCTACCCTTTAAAAATGGAGTTTATGCAGTATACAACATTTCCTCCTCTTGTTATGCTGTTAAAGACACTAGATGATTTCACTTTCCAAATCAGCTATATTATTTGTCATTCATTTATTTATTGAATGCTCCACCTTCCTCTTTACACAGGATCCAAGGCAGCTTATCAATAAATTTTAAAAACAGGGTACAATACCTCAGTCACACACAAATATGGGTAATGCAATTTCTATACTTAAATATGACTGTCACGTACTCTTCTCCATACAGTTCTGGCTGATTGTTACTTAATGTCTGTTGGAAATAGCAACCTTCTCAAGCCACCAGTAGCTGTTCGTTACGTACAGTATATTCTGGCGTATAAGACTACTTTTTAACCCAAGAAAATCTTCTCAAAAGTCAGGGGTCGTCTCATACGCGGGTATAGTCTTATGCATGGGAGTCATCTTAACTCTATATTTTAACTGGAAATGTTGGGGGTCATCTTATACGCCCAGTCGTCTTATATGCCGGAATATACGGTATATAATTGCTTACTGTATTGTATGTGTGTATTGGTTTGCAATTTTACCTGACCTCTTTGTTGTGGCAGGGGCTGCAGACCAAGTGATCAGGTCTGGACATGTTCAGGACTAAGACTTCATTTTTATTTTGTAGAAGCTATTAGACTCTTAGAGAGATTAGAAGCCATATGTATGCTTATAGAAGTCAGCTTGTGTTTGCTTTAGAAGACTGCAGGAACAGTACAGTTTAGACTTCAGTAAGATGTATTCTTAAAGACTCCACTGTTTTGAAGATGTCTTACTTAAAACTACTTAAAATCCTATTGTAACTGGATCAATAAGTAAAGTGCCTATATGCTGTATACATGAAGTTCTGTGAGTAAACCAACTTAGTTACTTTTGAAGAACACTGTTTATTTTGTCTCTTGATTTAAAGGCAAATATATTTTAAAGGAGAGTAGATGTTTTTGGACAACTGAAGGAACATTTCTGAAACTCTGCTGAATATATATATGTATGTGTTTGAGCATTGGCATGTCTTTGTCCCTAGCAGTTCAAAGACATACCTGGGTACATCAGTTTAACAGGTGAGACCTAGTTGCCTTGCATGAATGCTCATGAACTTCACTTTTCAAAAGGTTGTGACTTCTAACAAGGTTGTGACCAGTGGTTTTTCCAAAAAAGGTTATGAATCCCATTTCCCAAATGGTTATGGGGATTCACATTTTCCAAAACTATCTTCAATTTTGCTAACTGATAATCCCAGAGCAGCAAGGTTGCTCCCATTTTGCAATTTTTTAATTAAAAAAAACAGACCCATTTCTATCAGCAGATGTTTTTAATGTTTCTAAATTTTGTTCCCTTTGCGAGTGATTAAAAATTATAAAGTCACACTTGGCCACAGCATAACAAGACTCGTATAAGAATTATGAGATGAGAAATCACAGGGTTCGTGCATTAGTAATTCTCCTGCAAATAACTTACTGGCAGTATTTTCTTTAACCCACAGCGCAGAAATTCATTCCTCAAGTGTATCCTAAAATCAAGATCTTCAGGAGAAGTGACAAAGGCATTTATGAGCTGCATGCAGGCTACCTGTAATCAGAAATTATGGTAAAAGTAGCTTATGAGATTTAGTGTTCCAAATGCACAAGAGCAATAAACACAGCTTTCTAAATAAAGAAATGCACTAAAATCTACTTTACAAAACCTCAAGTGGTATATAACGCTATTTTGCCAATAATGGATCCCACTTAGGTCTGACCTCAGAGAAGCATGAATCAAAACAATATAACACTGATGCTGGAGCAGCCATACTGCTGGTAGCCAATGAAATTATTAAGACAGACCAAAAGAGGTAGGAGAAAGAAACAAGGTCTTTTTAAAAAGCTGTGTAGCAAATAACATTGGCAATAACTGCTCACAATATAAAGATGGCAAGATGTATATTGCCATCTCCAAGTATCACCTTTTATTTGGTTTTTTTACACTATTGCAAGTTCTACATGAAAATCTATGTCTGGACATCCAGGAAGAAAGCAGAGCTTGCTTTTCAGTATGAAATGTATAACACTTGCAAAGTCTTCAAATCCCATCAACGGTTATGGCATTATTGCTGTTCTTTCCTGAATGACTCTTTATTAGGTTACATTTAGGACTTGATTGAATAGATCAAAATATATGTCCAATGAGTTATTAATAGAGAGAGAAGATGCTATTTATTTTGATTGTTTATGCCAGAAAAACATTTTACTCAATTGTTGGGACTAATAAAGAGAATGTTTCTGACAGAAACGACTTAATGAATCTTCCAATCAGTACAGTAGTAAGAGATTATAAAATCCAAGAAAGGGCTTTAAAGAAGATTTACTGTGTTATCAGTGTAACTGATTGTAACACATGAGTAGCATCTGTAATATTCTCTATAATGGTACTAATACTTATTATTGTATACACTCATGGAGGTTTTGAGGCCAAAAGTATAGATTCTGACACTTCAGTAAGTGCAACTTGTACATAAGGAGGCCCCGAGGCACAATGGGTAAAATCTTTGTGCTGGCAGAACTGCTGACCAAAAGGTCGGTGGTTCGAATCTGGGGAGCGGGGTGAGCTCCCATCTGTCAATACCAGCATCTCATGTGGGGACATGAGAGAAGCCTCCCACAGGATGGTAAAACATCCATGGGTCCCCTGGGCAATGTCTTTGCAGATGACTAATTCTCTCACACCAGAAGCAACTTGCAGTTTCTGAAGTCGCTCCCGACATACACACACACACACAAACAAACTTGTACATAAAACATGTTCATTTTGGGCACCTAGACTTCCAATCTCTGATCCTGTCTTGACCATACTTTTTGCAGCGTTCTGTTACATTGTGTTTACTGAAGCCCACAACTGTTTTCTAATTATTCAAATACAGAATTCCAAGAATCTTACCTGTAACTGTAAAGCGTCATGGTTCTCAAGACCCTCCACAATATTAGTGAACCGTTCACCATTATTCCTCTCAGCTGCAGTTGTTATAGCTGCTAAAATTTTGTCCAGGCTACAACACAAACATATTTATTTTGTAGAATCACAACACTTGAAGAGATCCCAAGGGCCATCTAGTCCAACCTCAAAGCATCTCTGACAGATGGCCATCTAGCCTCTATTTAAAATTGTCCAGCAGAAATTCTAGGGCAGCATATTCCACTGTCAAACAGTTCCAACAATCAGGAAGTACTTCCTAATGTTTAGGTTGAATTTCTTTAGCTCTAGCTTGAATCTACTGCTCCATGTCCTACTCTCTAAAGCACGCATGGGCAAACTTTGGCTCTCCAGGTGTTTTGGACTTCAGCTCCCACCGGCTGGTAGGAATTGTGGGAGTTGAAGTCCAAAACATCTGGAGGGGCAAAAGTTGGCCATGCCTGATCTAGGGTGATGTAGAAAAACGTTGTTCTTTTAAGTGACAGTTTCATGTATTTTCAGGTTTGTAACTCTTACTACTAAAATGTTCTCAACACTTACATATTTTCTTCTCCAACAATGCAAATGGCAGAAAGTATTTTTACTGTTTCTGTCATCATATTTGGTTGTTTTGGATCAATTGCTCTAGCAAGTAAAAAAAGGCTTCTTTCATCTCCCAGAATTCTTTGCAGTCCATACTAAAAGAAAAAGAGAGGTTTACACACATAAACATCTCTCTCAAATGAGGATATCCACAACTTGAAAGACATTCATTTCAACACGTCTACAATTTAAAATGTTATAATCGTATTATAAGATTTGCATAAGCTATCGTTAGATATATTAAAAAGGTGATATCAATAATATAGAATTCAAAGACATGACCAAATTTGTCTGGAATATTAGTAAGCCAAGAGAAGGTACTAAAAGATCCCCTTGTATACTGATAAAGAATGTAGTTTCACAGAAGACATACACGGCAAGCACTCAATGCTGTTAAACAGACAGGACAGACAACAGATAGAGGTATTATGTTGGCATTTTTCCCAACTTCAGCGTCCTGGAGGTTGTGCTCGATTCCGGCCACAGGAGGGTGCTGTTGCTCTATCCTATATGACAAAGAGCACTTGACATTGTCCTTTGATTTTCTGGTATTTCCTTTATGGTTCCGTAAAATACCTTCCTGCTTAAACGGTGACTAATTTCTCTACTCGCAGCTATTTTCAAACTGTTTGGGTAGACAATAAACTGAGCTGAAGGCCAGGTGCTTACCCCGACCCAGGCTTCAAACTGCTAACCTTTCGATTGGTAAGATCTATTGCTTCTGGTGATTAACCAGCTGTGCTAAAGCCCGGCCCTTGTTCATTATGGCTCAAAGTCCAATTCTGGCATTCAGAATACTTTACATAGGATACTTCTGATAGGAGCAATAATTACAGAAAATAATTGAATATCATCAACAATGTACAAACTTCATTCCCCAGTTGTTATCATTTCTCTTTTTAAACAATCATTTATGACTAGATAAGCTGAAGTTTCCCTACTGATGGTAAAAGCAAAGTGAACTGAAATTCTCACCTTATTATTCATAAATGCTTTGAGGCACTGTATTAGTTTATGCTGGTTCTTCTTGTCAATATTTTCTTGCCTATAACAGAGAGATAGTATTTACAACAGATATTACATCAGTATCCTTTGGCTTTCATTTAATCTCTTTGAATTCTCATACTCACTGTTTCTTATCCAACAGTTTTTCAAGAACATCCAAAAGAAGCCCAAGTCCTTCATGTCCAAAATTGTTAACCCAACTGTAGAAAAATATAAGTAAAGGAGTTAATTTATGCACTGTTACAAAAGCTCCAAGATCTCCAGTTAATGCTTCTAACATGGATGAATCTCCAATTAATGCTTCTAACATGCATTCATCTGATAAACCCCACAAGTGTTCAGTTTCCACAGCTGTTACTCCCCTTACTTGCTAAATAGCCATTACCTTTGGCATTTGTATAAACCAGGGGTCCTTAAACGAAGGCCCGAGGGCCAGATACAGCCCTTCAAGGTCATTTACCTGGTCCTCACTAAGGGTCAACCTAAGTCTGAAATGACTTGAAAGCACACAACAACAACAATCCTATCTCATCAGCCAGAAGCAGGCCCACATATTAAAATACTAATAAGTTTATATTTATTAAAATTGTTCTTCATTTTAATTATCGTATTGTTTTTAAGTGGGGTTTTTTTGCACTAAAAATAAGGTATGTGCAGAGTCCACAGGAATTCTTTCATGGTTTTTTTTTTTTCAAATTATAATCTGACCCTCCAACAATTTGAGGGATTGTGCCCTGGCCCTCTGTTTAAAAAGTTTGAGGGCCCCTGGTATAAACAAACAAAAGGTCCATCAAGAAATAGCAACCAAACATGCAAAGAGTAATCAACATATGTCAGCCTCTGATAAATGTATGCTTTTCTATTTTGCTTTGGAAAATGTGTATCTAACCCACAGTCAGTAGATGGCTCTCCAGAGTCATCTACTTTTCAACCTGCCATTTAAGAAGCACTGCAGAACATGCAGATACAAGGATTTGTCAGACTATGAACTAAGAAACAAGGTACCTGGGAAAGTAGTAAACAGATCTCCCTCACATTTCAGAAACATTAAGTGTGGGTTTTGTATCTGGAATAATAAACCAATAAGCACAGAAAGAACAGGGACTTCTATGCAGTTGCACAGCACATCATTTTTCAACATAGATGCCAAGTGTGAGATTTGGTTCAAGAACCATAAAGATGTGGCTTTGGCAAATATGGATATAACCTATTCTGAACAGCTCTTAAGTCTTCATTCAAAAACCCAAACCCACACTTGTAGAGCTATGTCCTTCAAACATGTCCTAACAAAAAAACAAAACAAACCCTAGTAAACACTTTACATTATACAGCACATGCTGATTTACTAATCATTTCCTCTAATTTCTTTGGATAATAATTTGTAATAAGTACCTGACTGGATTGCTTGTTAAAGAGACCCTCAGCGATTCCAAGCAGTTGAGAAGTTTTTCATCTGAAATACCAGACCGCAGTTCATGGACATATTCTTGGGAGGACAGAGTGCACTCGTGCTTACTATTTTTCAGGCCTCCCTTAATAAAAGATGAAACAAACATGTTACAGTCTTAAAGCAGACAAACATAATAGAGTTCTTTAGACATATTAGTATTAAAGGCTGTTTCTTCATATTCTCAAGTTTCGTTGTTCTGGAATGGCATCGTAAGTGATGTGAAGACATAATCGTTCTGCAATCATAATGCTAACATCATACTTCTTTCCCCAAAGTCCTTTGTTTCTTACATATTCACTTCTCCTGCCAACACAATCAATATAAATTGAGAACTAAAAACCATTGCAAACATTTCTTTTAGAAGGACCATCATGTTCAGTATAAGATGAATTCCAGATATTGAGTACCAGTAGAGATGAGTATCATTGAACAAAGTGCTACAGAAAGAAGAGGATGAATGCATCATCTTGGAAGAAAAAGAAGACTTAAGGGACATAAAATGTGAACATTTTTTTATTAAAGCATACACTCTGAAAGTAAACAAACTGCAGTAGCATATCACTTCAATCTGTCTCTTAACAAACAAATAAATTTATACATTTTAAGTTGTACCGTATATACTCAAATGTAAGACAACCCAAATGTAAGCCGAGGCACTTAATTTTACCACAAAAAACTGGGGAAATGTATTGATTTGAATATAAGAAAATAGCACATTTCCTAAAAGAACCAGGAAAATAAGATTCTGACTGTAAATAGAAGGTCTGCTGATGTTCTCTCCTTTTTGCCTTGTCTTTTATTCATGTAGAATATTGAAATGGTCATATGACTGGTCAAATAAATAAATTATTATTATTAATAATATTATTGACTCGAGTATAAGCTGAGGGTGGAAATGCAGCAGCTAATGGTAATGGTAAATTTCAAAATAAAAATATAATATACCAATAAAATTACATTAATTGAGGCATCAGTAGATTAAATGTGTTTGAATATTTACATAAAACTGTAATTTAAAATAAAACTGTCCAACTCTGCTTACACCATTATTTTAACCTTCTTCAGTGTAAATGTGCTTACGTATCCTTCCAATAATAATAAAGATAAAATAATAAATGTAATAAAGGTAATAATATATTAAAATAATAAGTGTAATAACAATAAATAGAGTAAAATAACAAATGTAATAATAATAAAGTAAAGTAATACATGTAATAAAAACAGTAACAGAGTAAAATAATAAGTAACTTTGTCTCGGGTAAAAGCCGAAGGGGGCTTTATCAGCCTAAAAAAGGGCTGAAAAACCTGGCTTATACTTGAGTATATACAGTATATTAAAGATCTATGAGCACTTAAAACACAATCCTATTGGCATTATAGTTTCCAAGAACTAAATTAATTAAATTGTTGGCTGTGGTGTTATTTTTGCTGTCCTTGTCAACCCTGCCCCCCCCCCCAATAATTGGGGCCCTCAAGTATTTACAAAAAGCAGTTTATGGGAGACATCATACTCTATAGCTTGGACATCTATTAGTATCTTAAATTAACCGATTTAATACTTGTATATATTTTTAACACATTTTAATATTTATCTTTTGTATGTTGTAAGTATTACTGCTTTATAAGTGGGGAGAATTTTGAGTTTCAGTGCTGAGAAAAAAAGCAAATTAAAATAAATATAATCATCATCACAATCGTCATACCACAATCCGAACGCACAGTTAAGGCATTTGAAGCTTTATCTATTTTTATAAAAATTAAATAACAATGTATTATTATTAGTAGTAGTTGCAGTATTTATATTCTGCTTTTTCTCTTAAACCCTAAAACATATAAACATTAAAATAGAATTGATTACAGGAGTTAATATAGTAAAAACCAATAAAACTATTTAAAAAACCTACAGGAGTTAATATAGTTAACACTAAACGAAATAAAAAAAATCTTAAACTACACATTTGCCGCATCATTTTAACAAAGCCATGCAAGAGGACAATATGCATTAATAGCCAAGAACCCCAACATTTTCTGATTGTTAAATCGTGCACTTGTGAACTACATTGATACTTACCGGAACTCTACTTCCAATAATCTGCATGCAGTGAACAACCGAAGGTAGTGATAGCAAAAAAATAAAGAAAAGAATAAAATGAGTAGGCTGAAGCATTCCACACAACTAGTCAAGCGTTTAGTAGTTAGTGACTGTTATAAAGATACTAATCATGACATAGAAAATATTCATGAAACCATCCCTGCAAGCTGTAAAAGCAGCGATTTCAAAGTACATTTTAGTTTTATGCATCCTGAACATTTCATTACAGAAAATGAACACTTATTTAATTAGAGATATGTCGTATATTAGTGCATACAATGGAAGAATCAAAAAGTTCATTAGGCATACATTTTAATACTGCAGTCCAAATTAGGAATTCTTTTAATGGATTGATGTGTATTTACCTACTGTTATAAAAATGTTAATTCAGGCAGTATTGTACATTAAGTAAGTCAAATGTGGGCTGCTGCCAGGAATCTAGATGGATCACACCGATGCAGTATGTGGGTGTGAAAGATTGACTGCAGGCACAGTAACTTCTCCCTGCAAAGATCTGGGGGACCTGAAACAAAATGGCTAGCAGACATTCAGACTTCAGGATAGGGCTAGTCATCATGCTACCCCTTCCATTCAATTCTTTGTCAAATCAGATAGGAATCACATTTCCTACTATAGTCATTTCCTTCCTAGATCTGTATAGGCTAAAGGAGAAGAGGGGTAAAAGATGGTAAAATGGTCCCTCTAAATCAGAGGCCACCAGAAAACATATATTTCTGATGCTTAGTAAACCCTTTGGCAGAGAAGGCTGAAGATCTCTCTGCCTGTCTTTCTCCTTTTTTGGAAACTGACAGTGAATCCTCCCACCAAAAGCCCTCCTCCACTGTTATTGCCCGACCTCTTAGCCAAGGGGAGGGCTGCTTCTGAGACATCCAAGGGAGGGGAGAGCAGGCATGTTTGCGCATGGCAGAGTGGTGCACAAGGACAGATGAAGGAGAGCATGCAGGGCTGGAGGGAGACTTGTGTCAGCAAGTCCCTTCAAGGCATGGGGGTTCTGCATGGGAAATTTGACCCAATTCTATCATTGGTGGGGTTCAGAATGCTCTTTAATTGTAGATGAATATAAATCCTAGCAACTACAACTCTCAAATGTCAAGGTCTATTTTCTCCAAACCCCACCAGTGTTCACATTTGGGCATATTGAGTATTCATGCCAAGTTTGGTCCAGATCCATCATTGTTTGAATCCACAGTGCTCTCTGGATGTAGGTGAACTACAACTCCAAAACTCAAGTTCAATGCCCACCAAACCCTTCCAGTATTTTCTGTTAGTCATGGGAGTTCTGTGTGCCAAGTTTAGTTCAACTCCATCATTGGTGGAGTTAAGAATGCTCTTTGATTGTAGGTTAACTGTAAATCCCAGCAACTACAACTCCCAAATGACAAAATCAACCCCCCTTCCCACAGCCCCACCACTATTCAAATTTGGGCATATTGAGTATTTGTGCCAAATTTTGTCCAGTGAATGAAAATATATCCTGCATATCAGATATCAGAATAATTTTATGGGAGGGGGGTCACCACAACATGAGGAATTGTATTAAGGGGTCACGGCATTAGGAAGGTTGAGAAACACTGCTCTAGAGGTTTCTCACATGCCCAGCTAAGGCAGAAAAGAACCCATGTGTGAGTCAGAGACAACAACAAACCACCAACTGCTTTATCGTTATAAATACATTTTTCAGGCAACCAAAGAGAAGAGCAGATACATGGACATGATTGCATAGTCAATACAAAAATAATGTAGACTGCCTAATTGGAATCATAAATAGAGCTCTGCAAAAGCAAGACTAGAAACCGATCATGACACAGGCTATGAACTAGTAGCATCCAAAAGTTAGTACAGTCAGTCCTCGATAGTTGCAAAGGATGAGGGCACAGGAAAGCCATAGAAGTGGAAAATCTGTTAATATTCTTTTCAGTAATGTGTTTATTGTTGCAATATAAGTACAGTAAGTATTGTTTTAGAGCAGCCTTACCAAGAATATTTCTAAACCCAGATTAAACATTATAACATTAGTTCAGCCTATAATCCTGTATTTTATTTTTGTAACACCATGAATTGCATGGCTACATTACACTAAGCAAGAACTTTCAATGGTTAAGAAGCATACATGAAAACTGTGTGGCTTGTTTTAAAAGGAGACAATTGTGGCATTTAAGAGACAAACAGTAAAACATGCTATTACAATGAATGCTGTTTTGTGTGTTTAATTTGTGTTAAGTGTTACATCATTGTATGTTTATAGCTATGTCTATTTATAGCTCCTTTGCACATTCTTTTCCTTCTGCTCCAAATTTATAAACAAGTTGGTCAAACACAAATATAATCTCATTTTCTACTCCATTTTAATGCAAGACATGATTATTTATGTACTGTTATCTGTATTTTGCACTCTGACTTAGTTATGCAGATAGACTGTATTTCTGCCTTTAGGTTGAATAATAGTTCTAAATACGCAAGTTTGTATTTCCCAAAGCACTTTACTACAAACAATAACTTATGTACAAAACTGGGTAAAGATGTGTTAGAATTTCAAAGTAAAACCTGTGTATTATCTAATTTTACTGGAATTAGCCTAGTGGTAATTTCATTTATCGTATCAAACATATTTATGCCCTTGGGTACCAAAGCAAATTAAAAACATGCAGCTCGCCTGTTTTGATAGTGCTACAATGCGCAGCATAAGATGACACTGAACAGCAGATTGTAAAGGAATGGCATAAAAGCAAAAGGAACAAATCAATTAGAAATTAACTTCAGGTGTTTTCCCGAAACCGCTGGATGCTGTGTATCCAGTGTAGTGGAAACTGCTGGAAACTAAAACCGTTAATATTAGATTAAAGCAAAAACATTAACATTTTATTCATGGAAGTAATATTACAAAGTAGTGTCAATTTTTTTTCCTAAAGATGTTTTAACAAATACTCTGCACTGTCAAGAATCAAGTCTGTTTCTTTTTCTGTTACTGGAATAGCAAATATATACTCTATATCCATTAGAAAAGAATTTCAACATTGTAGCATTTCACCCAAAAATATCTCTGTATGAGTTCTCACAGTGCTGTTAGAAGTGCACACCCTGTGAGTAAACAATGCTTTTATTTTAGCAAAGACATTGAAAGAGTAACATTTCTAGTTTTAGAGCTTGATTTATTGTGTCATTCCAAAACCTAAAATGTAACTCACTTATGAACCAAGACTCTGAAGTGCACAGTTGTTTTTCTAGAAAGGGAAGTTTGAGACTAAAAGACAACACCTCAATATGTGGGACTACCCTACTGAAATGATACAACACTATCAATGTTGCATTTATTGATAATAATTTATTAATCAGGATTTTAAAAATAGCTAAATTAAAAAAAAATCTCCATAGCAGTATTTTGAAGCAAGAGGAAATTGAATGAAGTATGAGTAATAGAATTGTTATTGGAATGGATGTATTTCAAAGGTAAACTGAATAAAGAGATGTGAGAATATGATCTGTGATCCCAGCCTTATTAACAATAGTACTGAACCTAGAACAAAAACAAGTGTCAAAAGTGATCTATGAATTCTTATGTTTTTTTAAGAGTAGCTATCAATTATTTTCAAATTACTACTATTAATGAAAACCTTCAACTATTATTCTTGCTCAACAGATTTAGGATGCTTGATTGCTTTATAGTAAAGAAAGAAATATGTTTCGGATTAGCGAACAGTTGTGATAAATGTAACACATTCTAATCAAGGCTTAAACTGATTGCTGAGGCATTTTGAAGGATTTTATGGGGAAACAATATTTTAAAACATTCCTGGGAGGATAATGTGAAACGGAAATCTTAAGGGTTGCTTTGAATTTTCCAGGCTGTATGGCCATGTTCCCAAAGCATTCCTTCCTGATATTTCGCCCACAACTATGGCAGGCATCCTCAGAGGTTGTGAGGTCTGTTGGAAACTAGGCAAGTTGGGTTTATATATCTGTGGATTGTCCAGGGTAGGAGAAAGAACTCTTCTCTGTTTGAGGCAGATGTTAATGTTGCAACTGGGCACCTTGATTATCACTGAATGGCCTTGCATCTTTAAAGCCTGGCTGCTTCCTGCCTAGGGAAAACCTTTGTTCACTAGCCCTGAAATCTTAAGATTTGAGTTTAGAACTGCAGGTGATGTTCAGATAATTAGTCTCACTTATACTGAGGGCTGGATGAAGGGAAAATTCTACTTACAGATTTGGCAGTTGCGGAAATGTACTGGACAACCATCTCGCGTTTTGTGGTCAAGTCTTTATTCCGTAAAGGAGTTTTGCGTTCTTCATTCAGGTTCATGTCTTCCTGTAAAACAGAATGGTTATAACAGTACTAAGACTGGATTATTATTTCATAGTTTATTTAATCTGCGTGCCCGCACACACACTAAGAAGGCTTTACATTCAAGGACAGAGCAACTACAGACATGCTATTCCACATTATTATCCCAGATTATATAGTTTGCAAGAGCGGCGTCAATGCACATCTCATTTATAGTCAAAACACGCCTATGCAAAGCTGGACAACAGAATGACATACTCATATGGGGAAAGAATATGGATAAGCAGGGTAAATATCCCTTATCCAGAATTCTGAAATCCAAAATACTCCACATGTGTAGCTGAGTCAATGGTTCAATGTATACAACTTTGTTTCCTGGACAAAGTGATTAAAACGTTGTATAAATTTACCTTCAATATATGTACTGTTATATAAGTTGTGAAAGAAACATAAATGACTGACATGTTTACACTTGGAGCCCATCTCTTAAGTATGTCTAATACAAATACAGTCATTAAAAAATCTAGGGGGAAGTGGGGAGTCTGAAATCCAAACTTCGGCAGAACCAAGTAACAAGGATAAAGGCTATCCACATTGTATCATTTTATTGTCCAAATTATCCAATTTTGCTTCAGTTGTAAAGGAAAACTACATGTCCCCATCTATAGTACTACCTTTCTATTGTGGTGGGATTTTGTGCTGCTGTGTGGCAAGAAGCTATGCCGACAGAAGATCAGATTTTTGCTGAGTAGCCATACTAAATGAGTTAAACAGTTACTAAACAGTTCAAGTGGAGAGAGGGGAGGCTAGTGGAGGATTTCCAAGAGACAAGACAGTGGGAGCAGAGCTAACACTTGTTATCATCACACAGTAACATCCCTTTGCATATTGATCTAGACTAACAACAACTATTTCTTTGAATGTTTTCTTATGGCACTTTTTATTCTGAGCTACGGATGCACATTACTGGTAGATTTGAGCAGATAATACAAACAGGATAATCACGTTATTAAGGGCCTATTTATACAAAAGTGGTTGAAGAGAACAAATGTCCTTGCATTGCATAACCTAACTGATGCATGTAGAAATATTTAAATCTCTATTCCAAGTACAGACATGTAAACTAGCCCAGAATAATTATCCATGCATCTGACAATGAGGACTTCAATCCAAGAAAATGCATGCCATAATAAACTGTCAGTGTTTAAGCTGCAGTACGATTATATTTTGTATACTGACATTTCTATGAGGAAATAACTGACAAAAATATGCTTACTCACTCGAAGACTGGCATTTTGTAAAGTCTCAAAAGGAGAGAAAGGAGAACTACAACTGTTCTTCTAATGCTTAAAGTTGGAATACATAGTAGTGTCCATGGGGAAGCAATTGAAGGTAACCTACATCTGTCAAAGGTAGCCATTGAAGATAGCCCCCAGTGGTGCAATGGGTTAAACCCTTGTGTTGGCAGGACTGCTGACCAAAAGATCGGCGGTTCGAATCTGGGGAGCAGGGTGAGCTCCCATCTGTCAGCTCCAGCCTCCCATGCGGGGACATGAAAGAAGCCTTCCACAGGATGGTACATATCTGGATGTACCCTGGACAACATCCTTGCAGACGGCCAATTCTTTCACACCAGAAGCAACTTGCAGTTTCTCAAGTCACTCCTGACACGAAAACAAATCTGCCAAAAATTATGTAAGAAGCAATTGTAAAATAGGATGTTAATGCATTAAGATACTTCCACCATCCATCCACTGATTCACCCATTAAACTTTGGCCACTAAGAATATAAAAAGTCCTCAGGGAAGCCATTTTGGCACCTCTATTTCATATGATTTCCAAGCCTCTCTCTAAGACAAGTAAAGGTAAGTTTATGGAGGTGTGTTCACACATTAACTGAGTTGTAGGGACCCCAAGGACCATCCAGTCCAATTATCATCTTTGATTATTCAACCTTCATTAATATTTTTATTCAGAATGGAACAACTCATATCTATGAAAGCACTGGGAAATCTTAAAGAAGTCTCACTTTTCACATTGCTTATAACACAAGAAACTATTGAGCAAAACCCTTACCATCATTTTTTCGAACAGGTCCATAACTTCTTTTTCTGATAAATTCATTGAGCGCTCATCAAACAGTGGCTGAGCTACTGGCAGTTCATTTATAGATGTTTGTGCGTCAATGGGGTGCTGAATCAAAAGCTTCTCCTTTTTGACACCTGATTTCCTAAAACTGGTTATTCTGTCACGCTACAAAAAGAAACATTTTTTTTCTGTAAATGCTGGTGTGGAAGAAAAACACATGCATTCATCATTAAACATGCTAACATGCTGGTAACCATGCCAGAGAGATTTCAAACCATAACAGTTCTGAGATTGCACTAAAAATACAATTTGTTCATCTAACAATGTGTTGGTTCCAATTGAAAATGCTTTCTTTTTCTACCAATATAAAACTTACACAATACAAGTCTTTAAATCCAGTGGAATGTTGTAAAAAAATAATACCCAAAAATTTAAGCAAATTATATGGTGCCTAGAATCAGAATAATGTATACTTATCTTATGTTCTGAAACCCCTAATTCTACACCACTAAACTAACATTTTGCGCAAAGGAAATATTAACTCTGCATGTTATATAAACTGAATAAACTGCTTTGTTTGCTAATTTTGTATTGGTACTCATCATGAGAAACAGTAGGACTTCACTGAAAACATTTAATATATTTAATTCATTTCTATATGATTAAATAAACTAAATCTTTGAAGACAATCTTTTCAGGATGCTCAGTTTTGCATCCAATATAAGATTCCATCTGTAAAATGTTAACAGAATCACAGTGTACATGTATGCATAATAACTTTATGGAAACATCCAGTTCTCAATAGACTCACAAATGGAGGTTACTTCAATAGGATTTATCCAAAAGGTCAAGTTCATGTGTTCCAGAATCATGAGGTCTTATATCAAAGCACCTTAAAACCACACCACTCTTTTTAGTACTCATCATGCAACAGGTTAGCTGTTAAACTGCTTCAAAACAAACCATTTACAAGTTTAATAGGCAAGAGTTACAGGTAACATTAAGAAGTGCAATATCAGAGATATTCACCCTCTTCAGAACACATGCATGCAAGTTAGTACAAAAAAAAAAGGAAAGAATAATCTCTATTCTGTTTGTTTGTATTCTGCATAAAAAAAGGTCAGGAGGAAAAACAGGAACACTGGATGCATATCTGAACATTATTCCATTAAGAACGTTATCCTATGTTAATAACAGCACTGAAAGTAAACAATGGTTCCAATTTGAGTGTTGATTGTAACACCCATAATCCCTAACAAAGTGCCATGCAGCCTGGGCTGCTGGAAGCTGTACTCAATATGATCTAGGAGCCTATGCTTGAGAACCATTTCCTTATAGAAAATTAGAGATTATTCAATGAAGCACTTAATACTCTTTGCATTTTGCTTTGCAGAATTACTCTTATGCAGGGCAAGCAGCATGCACTACAGAAAAAAACAGAAACCCAGAGCATGAAACTCTTACCACATCATCTGCCAAAGTTTTAATCTGAAGGTTCTATTCAAATCAAAAGAAATGAAAAAGAATGGGTTACCCCTTTTAAAAATAGCATTAAATTTATTCTATTGGAGTTTCAAAATAATTGTTTATTTCACTAAAAGAAGTGTATTTTTCCATCATATACCAAGTATTTAATATCAGCATTACAATTTTTCTCCCTCACTATGTATCATCCCTATAATTCATCACATCATCTTTAATATATTTCCACCACTTCACTTTCTATATATTGCTCTTAGCAAGGAAATTGAGATCTGCATAAACACAAAAACCAAAAACTTTGAGTTAGGAGAAAAAAACAAAAAGATCTGCATAAACAAAAAAGCCAAAAACTTTGAGTTAGGAGAAATAAACAAAAAAGGAAATTTAATATACATTTATATTTTCTCATATTTTGTAATATGTTTATTATTTAATATATAATGTACATATTATAATTTAATATATATATACCACAATCTACATAAAAACACATAAATACAATACAATACAGTAAGGAGACAAAATATACAAACTTACTAACTCTCTAGAAGGAAAACCGATTGTTCTTCCTTTACCAAACCAAATCATTCTGACATCCAAACTGCTTCCCAATCTTATCTTCCCCAAATCCTATCTGACTTCCCAAAGATAATTAAAAGTCAACGCCTTTTAACTGAGTCGCCTTTGGCTGAGAAAGGAGGTATACAAATACAGTAAGTAAATAAATAAATAAATAAATAAATAATGCAACAAGTCACAATACCAAGCAGCCACAGCCACAGCCACGCTAACTTTGCATTTCATTTGACATTCAAGGCGAATTCAATGCCAGATTGACCTGGACAGCGATCCTTATTTGTTCTCAATGTTAGGTGAAATCTATTGCCATCCCTTTTGGCAACAAAAAAGCCTCCCACAGACCAAACCACCTCAAGGCAGCCGCTTTAATGTAGTTTCTGCAAAATCATCCAGATAACAAGACAGCTCCACAATACACAAAATAGAGTACCACTTCACAGATGTCTTTCCACCAGACATCTGTGATTGTTGTGTAACCAACAGCAATTTCACAAGATTTTTTTTTTTGGCCTCAAGCTGCAGTGACAGAAAGACATGGAACTATGAAAACACTAAGCATGTGTCAAATTGCTAGGAATTATGCTAAGAGAAGAGGTGACACTATTTTGGATAATGTTAATGCCTTTAAAAAATCAGTAGGCTTCCAATGACTTTAGCAGCTGCATACCAGGGAGATGATCAGCATGTTTTTTTTAATATTTCTGGAAAGTTTACATCTATAACCAAGCATTCAGTTATCAAAAGCAATGAGGCATACTAAACAAAGAGCAAAGGATTTACCTAACAAAGCAGGAACTTGAAATCTGACCAAAACAATGTTCCTTTTCTCCAAAATACCATCAATGCAGCCAACAAAATAATGATATTTGAACTAGAATAATGCTCTAATAAAGTGTACATTATTAGTTAAGAAATCAGAAGGCTAAGTATTTAGAAGGGCAGCTATAAAGGGACCAAATGCCATGAAGTATACATCTCTGAATACTAAAGCCAGCCTCATCCATGCCATGATATTTATTGCTTCTATATGTGGAGATTTTATATGTTGCTGTTTTTAAATTGTATATTGCTTTTATCTGTTGTTAAACCGCAATGAGTCGCCGTTCCAGGCTGAGATACTGCGGTATATAAGTGTATTAAATAAATAAATAATAAATAAATAAATAAATTGTTTCCAAAAGGTACCAAAACAAACAAACAAAAATGAGTTATAGGTGGCAGCACATTGTTAGCTAAGAGTAGAACATATATCAAAATGCATCACATCACTTCAGTATGGGGTTTGGAAAAATACTGCAAAAGAATGCAGTATCCTCCTGTAAAATGTGTCTGGATGGATGCGGTCCCTTTTGAAGACAAGCTCCGCCTATGAAAGCTGGAGAGTGAAGAAAGCTGACAAGGAAAGGACCAACTCTTTTGAAATGTTGTGCTGGGGGAGAAATCTGCAGGAACCAAATGGGTCTAAGAATAAATCAGTCTCCATTTGCGTAGAGAAAAAGCAGAGTACAAATAAACATTGGAAGAGGAGGAAGTAGTAGTTGTTTGAATATGCTTCGAAAATGCATCAGATATGTTTGATTGTTTTAACTGTGAATCTTTTGATACTGTTCATATTTAATTCTGTTTTAATATTTGTATATTTCAAATGCTGTGCTAATGTTTTATGTTAAGATGCTTTGAGTTCCCTTCAAGGGAGATAAATATCAAAATAAAAACATAGAACAACTAATCACCCTTGATGTTAAGTCCAGTCATGTCCGACTCTGAGGGCTGGTGATCATCTCCATCTCTAAGCCGAAGAGCTGGTGATGTCCATAGACACTTCCAAGGTCATATGGCCAGTATGACTGCATGGAGGGCTATTACCTTCCCGCAGAAGTGGTACCTATTGATCTACTCACATTTGCATGTTTTCAAACTGCTAAGTCGGCAGAAGCTGGGCCTAACAGCAGTCACATTTGGTGGGGACAAGAGACAGGGCCTTCTCTGTGCTGCCCCCTGGGCTGTGGTACTCCCTCCCTAATGAGATTAGATCTGCCCCATCCCTCCTGACCTTCTGGAAGAAAATCAAATCCTGGCTGTAGGATCAAGTGTTTACCGAATAGACTGATTTACTGGTGAAGATAAGGTTTTAGTGGTCCGCAATGGACTGATTTGGATGACGATTTGAACCGGCAAACTGTTTTAATGTATATTTATAACTGTTTATAATTAATGCTATTGTATTTTTATGTTATTATATTGTGTCGACATTGAATCGTTGCCTATTGGAAGCCATCCTGAGTCCCTCTTCGGAGATTGAAAAGGACGGGTAAAATGTTCTAAATAAAAAAAACCCTCACATTTGCATGTTTTCAAACTTCTAAGTTGGCAGAAGCGGGGGCTAACAGCTGTCACATTTGGTGGGGACGAGAGGCAGGGCCTTCTCTGTGGTGGCCCCTCAGCTGTGGTACTCCCTCCCTAATGAGATTAGATCTCCCCCATCCCTCCTGACCTTCCAGAAGAAACTCAAATCCTGGCTTGTGGGATCAAACGTTTGCTGAATAGACTGATTTACTGATGAAGATAAGGTTTTAGTGGACTGCAATGGACTGATTTGGATGATTATTTGAACCGGCAAACTGTTTTAATGTATATTTATAACTGAATGCTAATTGTATTTTTATGTTATGTTATATTGTGTCGAGATCGAATTGTTGCCTGTTGGAAGCCGTCCTGAGCCCCTCTTCGGAGGTTGAAAAGGACAGGCATAAATGTTCTAAATAAAAAAATAAATAAATACTCACATTTGCATGTTTTCAAATTGTTGGGTTGGCAGAAGCTGGGGCTAACAGTGGGAACTCACCTCACTCCCTGGATGGAACTCATTACCTGGAGAGATCAGGAAAGCCACTACACTAGAAACGTTTAAAAAGAACCTTAAAACCTGGCTCTTCTGCTGCGCCTTTGGCGAGTAGGTGCACAACATGACACTATTGCTCCCCTCAACGCTTCTGTCACTGGAGTACGCCCCCCAAATGGGAAGTTTAGTTTTACAACCCTGTGTGTCTTTATGAGCTCCCTGCAAATAACTTGCTCCTATTTTTATCTCATTAGAGTTTTTAACATTTTATTCTGTACATGTGGCCCGCCCACTGTTACTGTGATTGTGTTTATTGTAATGTTATTTTGTTACTGTATTCATATAGTTTTTTTTCCCTTATGTAATTTTGATGATGTTGCTTGTTGTTTATGTTTTGGTTTTATTTTGCTGTAATGTGTTGTTCAGGCTTGGCCCCATGCAAGCCACTCCGAGTCCCCATTGGTGAGATGGTGGTGGGGTATAAATAAAGATGATGATGATGATGATGATTATTATTATTATTATTGAGTTCAGCAGCTCAACAGTTTAACCCACTGAGCCACTGGGAGCTCCCTCTAAAACTGTGGTTCTCAACCTGTGGGTCCCCAGATGTTTACCTTCAACTCCCAGAAATCCTAAGAGCTGGTAAACTGACTGGGATTTCTGGGAGTTGTAGGCCAAAACACCAGGGGATTCACAGGTTGAGAACCACTGATCTAAAAGGTTATGTTCTCTCCTTTCGCCCTTGCCATTATCACAGGCTCGTCTTGTAAGAATAAGGGAGAGAGCCTTCTCCTCTGTGGCCCCTTGACTCTGGAACTCATTGCCCAGTGAGATTAGGAAGGCCCTCACCTTAGAAATTTTCAAGAGAGATCTCAAAACCTGTTTTTTTTAATGCGCTTCTGGAGAGGAGCCATATTATCATACACAGTATGGAGCCCCTGGGGGTGCAGTGGGTTAAAGCCCTGTGCCAGCAGGACTGAAGACCGACAGGTCGCAGGTTCGAATCCGGGGAGAAGCGGATGAGCTCCCTCTATCAGCTCCAGCTCCTCATGTGGGGACATGAGAGAAGCCTCCCACAAGGATGATAAAAACATCAAATCATCCGGGCGTCCCCTGGGCAACGTCCTTGCAGACGGCCAATTCTCTCACACCAGAAGCGACTTTCAGTTTCTCAAGTCGCTCCTGACACGACAAAAAAACAAGCATACAGAGTTGCTCCCCCTCAACGGTTTTTGTCCCCAGAGTATATTTCCCCACCTGTATGAAGGTCTATATTTATGACCTTGTTCTTTTATGAGTTTCTCCCCCACAATCTGCTCCATCCCTATCTCATCCTAATTTTAGTATTTTAGTTTTTATCTTGCACATGTGGCCCACTCATTGTTATGTTATTTTATTTTACTGTGTATGATTTTGCTTATCGTCTTTGTACTCATATGTTGTATGTATTTTACTGTGTTGTTATTGTGTTTTTCTTTGGTAGTTTTGTATACCGGTCTTCTCACCTCCATTCGAGGGACTCGGGCCGGTTACAGACCGTCATTAAAACATCATATTTCTAAATCACACTAAAACATTAAAACATTGAACAATTAAAATGGCAAAAATACAATCATATGATTACAGTGGTCAGTCGTCATCAAAGTCATTATTCGTCGTCATCCATCCATATCACAGAATCATGGCTCATTCGTTGAATGCCAATCCCCAAAGCCAGGTTTTCACCTGTTTCCTGAACGTTAAGATCGAAGGGGCAGTTCTGATCTCCAGTGGAAGGGAGTTCCAGAGTCGAGGGGCCACCACCGAGAAGGCCCTGTCTTTTGTCCTTGTGAGGCCGGTGGGATTGAGAGCAGGGCCCCTCCAGACGATCTTAGTAATCTTGATGGCTCATAGGGGAGGATACGTTCGGACAGGTAAATCGACCTTATTGTGTTTTAGTTTTACTTTATTGTAATATGCTGTGGGCCATGGCCTCATGTAAGCTGCCCCGAGTCCCTATTGGGGAGATGGTGACGGGGTATTAAATAAAGATTATTATTATTATTTATAATATTAGCAATGTTAGCAATTAGCCAAATTGATTAGCATTGAGAAGCCTCGCGACTGCAAGGCCTGGCTGTTGCTGCCTGGAGGCGTGCTTTGTTTGGGAGGTGTTTACAGGCACTTGGTTGTTTGCTGTCTGGAATTCCTTGGTTTCTAAGTGGCGTTCTTTAGGTTGAATGGGTTTGCGACTCTAAGATGAGATATTGCTTGGGAAACTATTGCCAAATGTTCTAATGCAGGATGTCCCAAAGTTTTGGCAGTTTAGTAAACTTTTCCTATGTTTTGACGACAGAACTAATTAGGAAATGACACTGACAACCCAGGAACAACTTCATATAGTGTTGTTGTTGTTTCTCTACACAAAGGAGCCTGGCTGCAGTGCCTGAGCCCTGTTTGCAAGACCTGGCTGTTGCTGCCTGGAGGCGTGCTTTGTTTGGGAGGTGTTTACAGGCACTTGGTTGTTTGCTGTCTGGAATTCCCTGGTTTCTAAGTTTTGGCAGTTTAGTAAACTTTTCCTATGTTTTGACGACAGAACTAATTAGGAAATGACACTGGCAACCCAGGAACAACTTCATATAGTGTTGTTATTGTTTCTCTACACAAAGGAGACTGGCTTTGTTTGGGAGGTGTTTACAGGCACTTGGTTGTTTGCTGTCTGGAATTCCCTGGTCCCAAAGTTTTGGCAGTTTAGTAAACTTTTCCTATGTTTTGACGACAGAACTAATTAGGAAATGACACTGACAACCCAGGAACAACTTCATATAGTGTTGTTGTTGTTTCTCTACACAAAGGAGCCTGGCTGCAGTGCCTGAGCCCTGTTTGCAAGACCTGGCTGTTGCTGCCTGGAGGCGTGCTTTGTTTGGGAGGTGTTTACAGGCACTTGGTTGTTTGCTGTCTGGAATTCCCTGGTTTCTAAGTGGCGTTCTTTAGGTTGAATGGGTTTGCGACTCAATGATGAGCTATTGCTTGGGAAACTATTGCCAAATGTGCTAAAACAGGATATCCCAAAGTTTAGTAAACTTTCCCCATGTTTTGATGACAGAACCAATTAGGAAATGACACTGACAACCCAGGAACAGCTTCATATAGTGTTGTTGTTTCTCTACACAAAGGAGCCTGGCTGCAGTGCCTGAGCCCTGAGTGTGCAATGTGTTTGTTCAATACGTAATCCCCTTGGAAGGGAGAGAGAGAGAGAGAGGGCAGGCCTCCCTGGCTGGGCCCTTGCCCCTCCATCCCTGGCCGAGGCCTACACGGCTTCCCTTCCTCCCTCACTCACCAGCTTGGGCTTGTTCTTGTTCTCGTCCTCCGGGCCCGAGGCGCCGCCCCGCTTGGGGTTCATCTTCCCCAGCCCTTCCTCGGCTCCCTGGCTCTCCATGCCGGCCTTCCCCGCTTTAATCCCCGCCCCTCATCAGCGCTTCTTGAGGGACGCCACCGCCGCCTCAGGCCGCCGCCTCAATCCTGTCAGCTCGCTGAATGAGCTGCGCATGCGCGACGGAGGCGGCTGTGTTGTTTCTCTTGAGGAAGGAGCCACGCGCATGCGTGCCAGGTTCGGCAGGAAGAAGCCCGGCTGCCCTGAGTTTAGATTGAGAGTGAAAAGGGAAATAAGGAACCTGTGCGCATGCGTAGTAAGGAATCCGGCAGGGCTTGAGTCAAAATTTAAGAGGGGAATGAAGAACCTGTGCGCATGCGTAGTAGGAATCCGGCTGGGTTTGAGTCAAAGCTTGGGAATGGGGGACCAGTGCACATGCGTATCGAGAATGCGACGGAGTGAAGAACCTGTGCGCATGCGTAGTAGAGATCCGGCAGGGCTTGAGTCAAAATTTAAGAGGGTAATGAAAAACCTGTACGCATGCGTAGTAGGG